CAAGGGATAATAAGCTAGAGGGCTTGTGGTTGTTGACAGATTTTTCACATGAGTGGGACACAAAGAACCAGATAGGCTGTCTGCCGTGTCCTGCTGCTCCTGGGCAGGGTTTGAACCGCACAGGGCAAGAGGGATTAGAAGGAAAGCAAAGAAGGTGTTTTTCCAAAGGTGTCTGTGCTCCTGTTCACATCCACACGTGTGCAAGGAGCGCCACACGCAGCACCCTCCTAATGCTGGGGAAGACTGCCACCTGCTGGTCAACTTAAGTATTTTTACCCAGTTGTTCAGTTCTGAACAATGTCTTTTTGACTGAGAAGGAAACCTGTGCTGGCATTTTCGCCAGGCCAGGAGCTCTCTTTTTTCTCTTTTATCGTCACAAACACTCAACAGGGAAGGTCTTCATTCTCATTTTTAGGGCTACTCAGAAAAATTAAGTGACTAGATCAAGATCATTCAGTATTGGAAAGCTTGGGATTCAAGCTCAGCTATGGCTATACAGATGGTTATTTTAAGGAAGTTGGTATGATCATATAAGCTTTGCAAACTGTGAAATGTTATATGAGAGAACCAGCAAATGGCAGGTGTTTCGAGTATACCAGATGGAAGAATGGATAAAGGAATCAGTATGCAGATAGATGCTCCCCAAGGTAGTGTGGCTTAGGGGGCCAGAAGCCCTGTTTTAGTCCCTGTGGGTGCTGGCACTTCAAGGTCAAGGGAACCTGGGTTAAGCCATTTCACTGCTCTGAAACAGTTTCTGTACTGTAACTGCAAATGTACTGGGCTTCTAACATGGGAACTATTTATTCTGACTCTGTGTATGTGTGTTTCCTTTCTGCAACATACTGAAATCTATTTTCTAGTCTTGGTGGAAATGGAGTGATTCTCAAGAGGAGAGCTTTTTCCTGCTTGCTTTCTGAGCTCTGAATTAATTCACTTGTGAGGCTTGCTGGGGAGGGAGAAAGATGAAGGGAGTGAGCCCTCTGCTGGCCACCAGTATATCGCACCGGCCCCAATCCTTGCTGGGCGCACAGGTGAGGATTCCCAGCACCCTCCTGAGGCCAGAGGACCCAGGAGAAGGGGCAAACGCTTACTAATTATGCCTGGTTATGTCACTTCTGCCCTAAATACATGTAACAAATCTCAGCTGCTCTCAGAGGACCCAGGCCTTTGAGGCCAAGCCCTACCACCCCCTTCACTTTTGCATTCAGCCATAGCCTCCCCGTAGCACCTCTACGATCCTCATGCAAACCACAGTAACTTTCAGTAATTAGGGGGTGTCCCCTGATTCCCTCCAAGAGGCCCAAATTCCAAGGAGCAATGCCCTAGTGCTCCAGGACCCTGCAGCCCAACTGGGTCCTGGAGTTAACAGGGCTTTGAGTCCAGTTCCCACATCCCTAATTAGGCTGGCTTATTGAAATTGACACCCATGTCTAGGAAAGATCCCCTGTAGGAATTGAAAGCAGCTCAGGAATTGGGGTCTGGACATGGAGAAGCTCTCTGGGACCCCACATCCTATAGGTTTTACCTTCTACCATCTCTCAGAACCATATGCTTCCTTGACCATGACACCACACGTAGGCACACCTATCACCTTTCAACCTGACTCCCAGGCCTCTCCCTTCTTGCCCCTCCTGGCCTGAATCAAAAAGATTCCACCTGTATCCAAGAGATGGTTTAATGGGTGGGGTGGGGTAGGTGTTTGGGTGGGTGGGGTGGGTGTTGGGTTGTGTGGGTGAAATAGGTGAAAGAGATACAGAGGCACAAAATCTCACTCATAATATAAATCAGTCACAGGGAAGAAAGTACAGCATAGAGATAGTCAGTAGTTCTGTAACATATTTCTACATTGACAGTAAGTACATTAGTTGGGGTGAGCATCTAATAATGTAGGGTAACTGTTGCACCACTATGTTGTATACTTGAAACTAATATAATATTGCACATCAACTATATTTCAATAAAAAATGTAAGTTATAGGATGATCTCATTTAAAAAAATGGTTTAAAAAACCAGGTATGATCATCATACTCCCCTGCTTAAAATTCCTTAGCAGCTTCTCATTGCATTTAGAAAAAAGATTAAGATCCTTATTCTTAGGATGCTCCCAGATGCAGTCCAGGGCAACAGCGGCTTGATGCTGAGACACGGGTGTGGCTCCTGGGGGAGTTGGTGGTGCCACTCTCACTGCGCGGGGTGCACACTACCTCTCTGACAGCTCCCTGTAATACCCCACTGAATGCTGTTTTTACTTTTTGCCTTTTTTCATTAAAATGAAAATCCTCTCTGGATTTATTTTAGGTTAGCAAACACAGGAATGAACATAGGGCTTTGGGAAAAGCCAAGTGGCATAGTGCAAACCTTTGAAAAGTGGAAGATACCGGTACTGACTTTTAAATGAAAAGGGAAACCAAGATTTAGGACCAGAGACCACCAACACAGCCCACAAGGAGCACACCCCCGCATGTGCACACACCCCCTCACCATACTTGCAGCTGGCAAGGCATTATGGGAAGGAGAATGGCTTGGCAGGGGGCAAGAAGGGGAGAAGGTAGAATTTGATCTTAGTCCCCAAAGATGGGGCTGTGTACGCTGATATTGTGATGGTGGGTGTAGGGGGGAACCAGACTGACAGGGTCTTTGGTTTGCATTCCTTGCTCAAGGCTAGAAGTCCCCTTGTGGATAATCCAATGGGTAAAGCTCAAGTTACGTGCCGTGGCTACCACAGGAAGACAGGCAAGGTGAGCAGGCAGCTCTCACAGTGGTGCTGAGTGCCCAGGTGTCCCAGGAGTGGGCAGGCCCAGCAGGGTCCTGAGGAAAGCTTAAGCAGAGGGACTGTTTCTAAAGGCTTGGGCAGGGTGGAGGGGAACCCCAAGTGCCGGCTGTTCTCCAGGTGCAGCAGCCACTGACTTAGGCCTTAGGGGGCAAGTGGGGTGAGCAGTTTCCTGAAACCTGAGGAGAGAGTTGTGGGGCGGGGTCAATGGACAGGCGCTGTGACTCTGTTCTGAGGGAAACGGTCAGCCTACCGTGAGGCTGGGGAGTGAGTAGTGTGACTCACCCCATCCCCGACACCCCCAGTCTCCTTCCTTCAGTGTCCGAATGTTGCCCATTTTGATACCCAACTAGAAACCCGAGGGCATGGGAGTCCATTGATAGAGTTCCTCTGGGGTGACCTTGAGAGATTCAGAGCAGGAGAAGGGGGGCAGCAGTTGGGGACGGACCAGGGGGAGGCTGAGCACCTGCAAGCGAATCCTCGGGGAGGAGCTCCTGACGGCGTGAGGGCATGGGGGTGGGGGGCGCAGCTGACGTGGGCTTGGACTGGCGGGTGGACGGAATTTCAGGACACGTTCACAGTGGAGAAGGTCACTTAAACAAAGCCACAGGTAGGCAACTAAGGGACACGTTTGAGAAATAGTGAGCTCACACTTTTCCACCAGGGCTCACAGGGTGTAGGCGGTTTGAAACCAACCATGAAGCCTTGGGTGTCATGGGCATGGCCCTTCTGCCTTCACGTTCCCATTTGAAGGCATGCGCAACCTTCCTGAGGCCAAGATTAAGGACTCCTGTTTCCTGGGCTTCTTAGAAATCAGAATTCGATTTTTGTGTGGTTTCTGGGGAATACCATACCAGCTTAGTTATATTCCCCTTTCTTGTGAGGGCATAGGACTGGGTTCAGACTCTCCCAGGTCAGCCGCCAGCAGAGGGTTAAGCCTCCCAGTTGAGGCTTGGCTGTTTCCAGAGAGCCAGTTTGTTCGGGTTTACACAGCAAGGCGAGTGTTGCTATGGCTGAACGGCAGGCAACATGTCTTATGATCTGGAACAGCAAATTGTGTATATAACAGGACAGCATTTATTAAAAGCAAGATAAACTCAGCAGCAAAGGATCTGGCTGGAGCCATAAATTCCTCTGATCCTCACTTCTAAGCCGCCACATTCCATCTGAATGAGGCCTATCAGCCCAAACATTTTCATTAAATAAGTCAATTTGCTGAAAATCCCTAAGAGAATGAACGGGGAATTGCTCCCTATTCCCACTCACCCTCGTTTTCAGGGAGAAATGTGCGCTGTGTGGTTCTGACTCACAGTTGCCGAGTGCCAACAGATCTGTGGTGCTGGGTGGTGCTTCCCTCCGTCACGAGAGGTATCCAGGCTGGGACGGGGGAATGCCGGGCCTTTTAGGGGGCTTTGCAGAAGAGAGAAAGATATTCCCAACAGACGTTCTTTCCAGTTCTGAATCTTGAGGATTGTGGGGGCCTGAGAAGGCTCCAGTTGAACTTGCCCTTCCCCCTCCCTGGCCACGGGTACTCGGTCACCACGGCACACATTCCCTCGCAGAAGGAGAGCTTTCTCATCAGGCTGGGGGCAGAGCGAGACCCCTGGGGTCGGAAGGTCTGAGTTGAAATCCTGGCTCTGTCATTAACCGGGTGAGCAGCCACAGGCAAGTCATCGCGCTTCTATGAACTCCAGCCCATCCTGTATAAGGTATACGAGTGACAGCTCACGCCTATTAGCACTTAATGCATTCCAGGTACTGCGCAAAGGGCCTCCAAATGGATATCACTTATTTTTCACAGAAACGCTATGAAATTAAGCCGTGTGAGTATTCCTGCTCTACTGAACTGATGCATGGAGCCATCGGGGAACTGGAGAATGGGGTAGTCATGATTTGAACTCAAGCAGTTGGTCTCTGGGGATTTTTAACCTTTTACCCATAGCATAGAATTTTTAGGAGGTTACATTATAAAATGGGCATAAAAGCATCTTCTGAGCCATAAACTTTTAGACTTGGAAATGTTGAACAAGAAGCTGAATCTCAAGCTGTAAGCTCTTCCCCACCTTGGTCAACTTTGTTCAAAAAGAGTGTTTCCTCTCTTTAGCCTTTCAGCGCCCTGCCACTTGACCACCCTCCCTCCTTGCCTTCCCTCCCCACATTCCTTCCTCTGTTCAAATACGTGAGCTTCGGGGTAGTTCAGGATCAACAGTGAAGGCAGAGCAAAGCCAAATTCAAAAGTACTGTGCTTTTATTTAAAAAAAAAATACAATCAGGTACTGTCCGGATGTGTTTTGGGAAGGAAGATCTCTTTACAAATCCTTAGTTTTCATCCTCATTATTATTATATTAATAATATTAATCATATCCTTAAAAAAGGAAACAGTATTGCTTTTCTGGTTTCTGTGGTACGAAATGTAGAAAAAGGGACGCCTTCCAATGACACACATTGAATCACTGCTAACAAAAATAATGACAATTAATTATACAGCTTTGTGTAAAATACAGCTGGTACTAAAACAAACTACCACTGTACAGCCTGCCCCTCTCCCCTTCCCAGAGCCGCCCAAGAGAAGGAAAACCACTGTGATGTTGCCACTGGAAGACTTGCTGATTCAAACAACAAAACAGTTGGAGACTGTGGTCTTTGGTGCGAAGGAAGCAATCACAGAGGGTGAGACCCGTGCTTCTGCCATTGGCCCCGATGACCCATGGTCAACTTCCACTGCTGCCAAATGTCCAGCTGGGGCTTGATGGTTGGGCTGGTTGTGTTAATACTTTGGTAAAATTCTCTTCTTTCTCTGGACCCTACTCCTCTCTTACCCAGCTGTCCCTGGAATTTATGCCCGTTTGCGCCTGCCTTCGAAATTGCGGAAGCTGCTGGGTCTCAACTTCATCTCAGCAAACTGGATTGAATATTCGTGGCCCTTCCAGTGGAACCAGTTAACACCCTGTAAGAAAGAGAAGACCTCCAAGTTGGATTCCAGTAGGCAAGGTGTTCAGGGACCACTGCTGTTTAGTTGACAGAACAAAATGAGTTCTGTTTGAACTTGACCTTTTGGAAGTTGACAGCTGTGTCTGGCCTGTCAGTCTATTAATCTGTATGGTGAAAACTTCCCAGCGGCTGGCTGAATCTGACTCCCTTTTTTTTTTTTTTACTTGAGTCAGAAGTCACCTGAGTTGGCACTGAGTCTGACCTGCCATCTTGAAACAAAACAGTGGCTGATGAAATTTGCCATTGTTAGAAATAGGTGCTGAAGGAGTTCAGGTCATGATCGTAGGCCACAGAATTGAGTAGCTATATGTAGGGGAGCCTACAATTCACAGGATTCCTATGGAGTATTTTAATAGGGGTTTATATGGAATGCAGAAAGAATGGAGGTAGAACACATATTTTCCAAGTTGACCTGATAGGGTTAAACCTGAGTGCCCTTCCTTGAGCAATAAGTGGTCTTGAACAAGTTATCAAACCTTTCTGGGCCTCAATTTCACTGCCCTTTTTTTTCTCCCTTAAGGTCTGATAATGCCAACCTTGAATGGATGCTATGAAGATTGAATGAGTTTACAAAGGAGCTATCACAGTGCTGGGCCATATAGGTCCTCAGTAAATATTACTTCCCTAATCTCAAGTAAGGAGAAATATCCTTGGAATTTGGGCCAAAGATTTTCCTTAAGAAGAGACTAGATTTGGGTCTGGGCCTCCTAGTTTCATACTTAACTCCTTAGCAGTGTCTACAGAGGTTAGAGTCTGCCTATTGAACCCCACAAGGCCCCTTATCCCACTGAGGGAGGGGGTCAACTTCAGGGAATGCCCTTATGAGGCCACTACCCTATGTGCTGACCCCTCTTCTCTTTAGGAGGTGAGAGGACGTATCCATGGAGAAGTTAATGGCTGGTGAAAGGATGGAAAAAAATAGAAATGATTTATTTGATTCGAATTTTTTGGCATTCACTGATATTAGGCAGTCTCTGAGTCTGACAAGGAGGTGGGATTTGAGAATGGCTGGCTCACGTCACAGGCAAATGTGTGCGTAATTGTTCAGTGACAGCGAGGCACTGCATCCCCCCGGCCTGGTCCTTGTGCTGCCTTCCTCAGCCCTGATCTCCCTCTGATAGAGATTCAGAGCTGGAAGCAAGCCCTCCTTACACTGTGGAGGAGACCGAAGCCAGGGGCAGAAGGTGACTTCACAGAGGCCACACAGTAGCAGGAGCAGAGCCAGATGTGGGACCAGAATCCCTGCCTCCTTTGTGGCCTTTTACATCATCTCCTCTTTCCAAAATTGGATGGAAGAATGGAAAGAAAAGCTTCCTTTTTGGCATGTAGCTGCTTTTTTTTTTTTCTGAAGGACTCCATATTGCACAAGGCAATAAAGGTGACATGACAGCGCCAGAGAGGAAAGCATAGCTTACACAACATATAAGATGGAAAGAACGCCTGCTTCCACCCCGGCTTCCCCCAGGCAGCCTCCACTATTATCTGCTTTCCCTCTGTGGTTCATCTCCCCAGGAACTTCATGGGTCGGTTAACTGGGCTTTTTCTAGGATTGTGCCTGACCTGCGGTGGCACTGAGCTTTCTCTTGGCTGTGCTGGGGAAAGACAGGTTGTCACATACTTGAGGTTCCTGCCTTTTAGCCTCAGCCAGGACAGAGGGGCTGAACTGCCCCTGTTACCCGCAACCAACTTCCCAAGCCCTGCCCAGGGCCCTCACAGTCCACTCACCTGACTATGGTTATTGTCCCCATATCTCCCCATGAGGTTGACACGGTGACAGTTCTTGTACCAGAAAGCCCCCTTGTAGGACAGGGCGCAGTTGGTGATGGCTGAGTCTGTGTCCTTGTCGAAGGTGGAGAAGGATCTGCCGTTGTGGTAGGCCATAGAGTCACCTGGGGGAGAGAGGTGTGGACGTGAGAAATCCCAGCTGCACTGCCTCGTGGGCTGTGAAGGGCAGAACCGGGGGTGGCAGCGGGAAGTCCCGGGGTGGGCTGGCCTTTACAGTGAATCCAGCATCAGGATCAAACACGGGACTGGACGGGACTTAAGTGTCAGGCTGAGGATTCACTTCTGCTAGAAGCAGCGCAATGTGGTGGAAAGAGGGCTCTGGGCGGCTTTGGGGGCTCTGGCTTCAAGACCCATCTCTTCACTCCCTGGAGTGACCTTGTACAAGTCAAGCCTCTTGCTGAACCTGTTTTCTCATCTGTAAAATGGGGCAAGCACATCGATCCTCTCCACCTCAGAGTGCTGCTGGGACAGTGAGTATGAAGGTGGATGCTAAGCAGGTAGAGTGCGTGCAAATCGTTACAATTGGTGTTATTTTTATACATTTTTGTATTCCTTTATGTAAAGGCACTCAGAGTAAGGTATGAAATCTCTATCTAATATTGTGTGTTGTTTTCCCAAATACAAGTATTTATGGCCGTACTTACCAACAAACCCTTTAGAAACTGATTGCCACCAAATAGCTTGTGCAAGATACAATTATTTTTCACTGTTTTACGGGACCAGTGTTGTTCGATTCAAATACAAGAAGCCTATTTATATCTAGTACTATTTGGTGTCTAGTTTGTAATTTTATACATTGAATTTTAAGAGCATTTAAGTGCCCTTTCTTCCTGTGTTCCCTCCCTCCCAACCCAGTGCACAAACATTTCAAGATGCTGAACATTCTACCCTGATATTTTAAAAAAGGTTGTCAAAGGGACTCAGATGTCTTCTTAACTGATGAAGCTACAGAGAGCTTGAAGACGGCACGCACACATTGAGGAAATAAGTTGCCTTCTGTGGAGGGCTGGCTCGCAGCCTTACAAGGGTTATCTTAGTGAAAGGACTCTGGAAATGCAGAGAGAATTGGGTGGAGGCCACATTCCTGCTGCACAGGCTTTGTTTGCCCTGTAACAATATCCTTCTCGCCCAAAGCCATCTTGTCCAAAGAGGTATTTATGGCCAGGTAATAAAATGTCAGGATTCTCTGAGGGACACAAGAATGAAAACAATTTTTGCCCCTGGGTCTCTCTCTTCATTACCACTAGACTGATCTCTTACGAGCTTAGTCTCTCCTTAGACTGAGCCGGCTTTTGGCAAGTCTTTATTTGTAGATTTTTCTTGTTACAGATGTTTTCTTTCAGAGCTCAGAGAAGATGGAAATGTGATGTAGCATATGTGTTCTCTGTTTACCTAAACATAACTGGAAGCTGCTCCGAAGTGGGCAGGGGCGGCAAGAGGTGGTCCCACTCTCAGGCCTGAGCCTCCTTGTCACCAAGCACATGGCCAGGCTCACACCGGGGCCACCTCCTTGCAGGCTTTCACCGGGGGTGGAAATCACTGAATGTTTCTTAGCCTGTTTCCTCATCTGAATAAATGCAATGTCTTCCTGGAAAGGTTTTTGTGAGAATTAAATGGGGGTGATACGTGGAAAACACCTGCAAACGAGGATGCTCCCCAGTAGGCCTGCAGGCATATTGTTTCCTTATTTCTTTCTTCATGAATAAATTCAGAAATCCACGCATCAGTTTTCAAGACCTGGACTAGGTTAGGTAGCAGACAAGGAATCAAAGGGCCGCCTGACAGGTGGTGAGTGTCCAGACATGGCGGTATGCAGGCTGAGGCTGATGACCCTGTGGCAGGAGGTCTTGGGAGAGATTCAGGCAGCCGGTGATGGAGCGGACTGTTGGCTACTCAAAGTGCTCCCCACAGGCCAGTGCCAGCGGCATCTCTGGGGACTTAGTAAGAAACAGCACCCCGGCAATCGGCAATCGGCACCCGCACATTAACAGGATGCCTGGGGGCGGGGAGGGTCAAATGTAAGCTGAGAAGCACTGGCTCAGGTGAACATTAAGGCCTCTAAGAGACAGTTTTTCTATCAGCCTATAAAAGAGATCTAAAAATGGATAAGAAAAAGACATGTTTTTTTGGATTCCCAGCCTACTTTATGTTTTGGTGACCAAAGTATCTACCTAACTTGTTCTTCTGGATTAGCACCTAGTGGGGATTCAGCCATTTGTTGATCCAGGAACTGGCTGGACTAATGCAGGAAGCAAAGATGAATGGAGGAATCAACTGGAAGGTTTCTGTGGTTCACGGGCCCTGAGTGTGGCTGCCCAGTACCTGCTGTACCACTGTAGCCCTCCACCTTCAGCTTGTAGCGCGTCTTGGCGTCTCCCACACTGAACTTGTCGTAGACGGCGTAGGCTGTCTTCCCGTGGTCCCGCAGGTCCACCCGCAGCTCATACTGACCCTGGGCTGTGATTTTGTTCAGGTTGTCCAGCCCTGTGGACGACAGGTAAACATTGCCAAAGACGCACAAGAGCCTGAGGCCATTCCTATCCCACCCTGTCTGAACAGCGGCTGGGTGTCCTCTAAAGAGGTTTGTGTCCCACAGACCTGGGCTGGCAGCTTGATCTGCTACTTGCTGGCGCAGCCCAGGCAAAATATGTTCCTGAGCCTCCGGTAAAATCACACTGACATCTTTGCCCTGCCAACTTCCTAGTGTATTGTGAAGATCAAAGGACATAAGGTGGAGAAAGCACCTTTTAAACTCCAAAGCTCCCTACAAGTGGAATGCAATTGGACAGCAGGTGGACATTCCCAGCCCAAACACTGGGGCCTAGAACAGCGCCCTCTGCAGGTAGATTGGGTAGAGTGACATGGATGGATGGATGACGGCAGTGCAGCGCCCCCTCGGCATGTTTCAAATTGCAGCTCAAATGCTTACTGTCCTATGCGCACACAACTTAACCTTCTGAGGCTCTATTTTCCTGTACACAAGATGGGAATTTTGTGTACCTTGCAGGGGTGCCACGAGGCTTTGAGGTTATGACTACAGGGAGCCCATCGGGAACTCCTGGCATCTGGAGGCCGGGACAGAAACAGTTAATAATGCCTGGGAGGGTGATTTCTATAAATGATTCAGTGAGTGTCTTCAGTCTGGCTGTTGGCTCTCTCTTGACCAGATTTTTATATTTAATGACCTAGAGAATTTTAAATCGTTTCCATTGAAAATTTGATATTCTGTGTCTACTATCAGAGTTATTATTTCCTCCTAATCCATTTTTTATCCATAGGTTACTGTGTGTTAGGACAAATGACAAGGAGAGCAGAAATGGGCGTTCGGGACCCAAACATGCGGGTAGCATTACCAAGCCAGAATTCTTCTCTGCGGTCCCCAAACCCAGCAGCATAGGCTTTCCAGTTTCGGTAGAAATCCTCATGTCCATTTTTGCGTCTCAGGAACACCTATAAACATAACCAGTGAATCTGGATGCCCTCTAGCTATTGCAGGAACGAGATGGAAGGCATCTTTCTGAGAGGAAGAACATCAGATGAGAGAAAAGCACCAGTCCCAGCTCTGTCTGCCACTACTTTGCCATTAAACCCTGGGCCGGTCACCTCCCACCTCTGCGCTTTGGTGATCTCACCTGAAAGGCAGGGATTAAATATGCCACCCAGCTTTGGGGATAATGATGTGCCCAAGTAGGCTCGTCACTTGTAACAAATGCACCCCTCTGGGGTAAGATATTTAAAAAAAATACTACCAGCTGACATGGTAATGGGGTTGAAATAACTCACGTAAACTCTTAGCACCAGCCTGGTAGATAGCAGATGCTAATTAGCATACACAATGGGCTCCATGACCGCTGTCAGTTTATGCATCACATAGTTGAGGACCCCCGATGAGATAAATTACAAGAGAATTATTTTCACCTCTTTTTTATCCCCAGCTTCTTTCCCATTCCCTTAAGAGATAATTCCTGAGTGTCTCCATGTGACAGGCACTGTCTTGCAGAACCTCACGCATGATGGTGTCTGAGTCCACAGGGAGGGCCTCCACCCCTCGCGGCCCCTGCTGAGCCCTCTGCCCACAGCCCCCAGGCCTGAGAGCTTCTGGAGTCCGTTTAGGTGATGATACTTACGATCCATCCACCCCCATCTGAGGTCATGTCACAGAAGACCTCCAGAGGCTGGGCCTTGTCGCCATTCAGATAGATGGTGTAGAGGCCAGAGGTGGTGTCTCCATTCAGCATTGCTTGGGAGCAGTCTCTGGGGAACGGGTATAGGAGTCCAACTGTGGGATCAGAAGGAAGAGAGGCTCAGAGCAGGAGGACCGGGGCAGGAGCTTTCAAATGGCAGGTCTGCTGTTTATTGGCTAGAGGCCCATAGGCAAGCAACTCAAGCTCTGTGAGGCTCTGCTCCCTCCCATGCTAGATGGGGATAAAGCCTCTCATTCTGGGCTGCAATGAGGCTTAGAGGCTATGGATATAAGGCACCCACCCCGGTCTTCTAATTGATGGAAGATGCCAATGATATCATTAGGGGGAGAGCTCAGCAATGTGAGGAGCATGTGCCAGGCTGACCCTGATCTACCCAGAGCAGCCAGACAGCCCCTGATGAACACCCAGGTACTGACAGGGGCCTGGGTCTGTAGCACCCAATGGAAGGCTCACTGTGGAGCAGGGCAACCTATTAAGCTGGATGCATCTCAAGTGTCTCTGGAAGATTCTGAAGCCAAAGACCAGGGTTTTAGTCCTGAACTTGCTACTTCCTTGCCTTGGAATGCTGGGAATGTCATTTAGCTGCCCGAGCCTGGGACTCTCAGAAGGATAAAATACAAGGAGGCCTGGGGGATGTCCAAGGGCAATAATGTGATGTGAGAAATAAAAACCTTGATAGAAATGGATGACTGTGGGGCTGTGTTTAGCAGGTGGGATGGAGAACGGGCGGTCCTAGCAGTTCTCTCCTTTCAGCGGACCTCCTCACCATATACGACCTCACCCGAGGCTATGTCATGGGTGTCCTGTTGGTTGTTTCATGGGCCTAGTCTGAAAGCATCTGTAGGGCCCCCTCCTATTTTTGTGCTCCCAGCACCTGGCAGAGAGCACCTTTGCCTCTACACCGCCCTCAGCAGGGGTGCAGAGTGACCTGAGCGACACGTGATGATGGGCAGGAGGCAGCCTGGGGGGCACTGTGTAGCCCAGGTTCTGGGCTCTCCGAAGGCTGACTCCTCCCTTCTGGGACAATGGATGCCCCCCCTCTTATTCACCAATGGAATGACTTGTACATTTGCCATCTGAACAAGGCAGCCGGGGGTGGGCGTGGGGTGCTCCCTGGTCCTGGACCTGATTCACGGCACAGCCTTGAGCAGGTCACTTAGGCTCTGGGAGCCTCTGTTTCCCCACCTGAAAACTGGGCATGACAGCCTTGGCCCACTGCATGAGCTTGGTGGGAGGACTGTTTGTGATCTTTGGATACTGACAGCCTTTGTAAATGCTGACATGCTGAAGGAGAAGGAAAGGGACACAGAGTTTATAATGAGCCCAGACAAAGGGCCACACTCTGGGTCCTTGTCAAGAAGGGATGGTTAGTGATCCCACTGTACAGGTGAAGGAACTGAGGCTTGTAGAATGGTAGTAACCTTCCTAAGTCCCACAGAGCAAGTGGAGATGGGGATTGAATCCAATGTTCTCACCACTGGCTCTCCTTCCCTTTCACCTCCCCAAATCTCCTGTACCCACATTCCTCAGGCTTCCAGGTAGTAGCAGGGAAATGATTCTTTTCAGAGATTTGGTGGAAAAGTTTTAAGTAACAGTCCGATGGGAAGTGGAGGGTTGGTGTGATCTCACAAAGTTTGATCTTAAGACCTAGCTGCTTCCTGAGTCCTTACTTGTGGTGAAGAAGGTCTGAACCAGCCTGCTCCTCAGAGGCCCGTTCAATGCCTGGATCTTGGCCGTGTAGTGCGTGGATGGGCTCAACTCTGCCAGGCTGTACGAGGTGGTGTCTGGACCCACAATGACTTCCTAAGGGCAGAAGGAAGAACATAATAGTTTTTAGCCTTATAAATCCTCAGGGTATAGATACATTCATTCATTCACCTATCTTTTCATTTCTTCATTCAGTCAGAATCCACAGACTCCCCTTCTGCACCAGACTCCACACTTACTTCTGGTGGGGTCAGAGATAGGGAAAGGGCAGTATACACAAAGGTCCTAGGGCCAGAAGGGGCAGAGCAATTTACAATTAAGCTGAAGAGGCTATAATATACTTGTTTTTGGTATGGGGAGTGATAGAAGTAGTGGGCAAAGATCAGATTACAGAATGCCAAGCTATGGCATTTGAAGTTTACCATTATAAGGAATGGAGATTCCTGAAAGGTTTTCGACAAGTGAATGACATGAACCTAGCTTAATCTGGTGGCAGGATGAATCACACAAAGGGCAAAAGGTTTAGACTTTGAGATCAGTTGTATCAGTGGCTCCTAATATGGCTCTTTTTCATGGCCCTCTGGGAAGCTTTAAAATAATACAATTCCTGGGCTCTATCACAGACTGATTGGATCATAAAAGCCAGAAGTGGGTCCCAGCAAGGAACACATTTAAGATGCTCCCCCAGATGATTCTGATGTATGGGTTTGGAGATCTTTTAAGTCAGGAGATGATTAGGCATGATGAGTAGGCATAGCATGATAAAGGCTTGAGCTGACCCAGCATGTCTCCTTTTAACAACAGAGATATCCAGGAGGGGCAGATGTGCACAGCTGCTGTGAGGCCAGTTCTAACTACACCTGCAGTTTGTGATTGCTGCTGTCCAGAGAAGGCGATTGGTTTCAGTTTGTAGGAAATCCCTTTCTTTTCAAACCCTTTTTTGAGCTTCCAATGCCTGTGAAATCATGTTTTAGCAGATGATGACCTTTGTGCAATAGATGACCTTTGTGCCTGGAATTGGAGTTCAACCTACATTCCCAGCAACCCAAGCACAACAGTGTTCTGTACAACCTGCAAACACAGCCAACTGGGTTTAGGCAGTAATGAGTCACTCTGGAGGCCTCTAGAAGGTTCTCTTGCATCTTTACAAGTGGGCAGGTGATGTTATCCACTCTCCCAATGGAGGATTGAGTTTCAGAGAAGCTAAGAGACTTACTCTTGCTCCATAATTTGTTGATGGCAAAGGATGGTCTTACATCCTCTCTGCCCTGGACCTTTTCCTCCTACACCAGGTTGGTTTTCTTGAATGAAACATAAAGACCTGGGGATTGAACAAGCAGGGAAGTAAACTGAGACGAGCATCCATTCGGTATCAGTGACCCACTGCCGTTTGTGTGGCCCTGAGATCCAGTCCTTGGAGAAGGATCAGATACACAGCCGGGTTCATTTAATTGCCTGGGGATACAGTTACTTATTAGCTCCCAAGGCTGCTGTGCAAAGCTGTCTTCCCAGCAATTAGGGTAGATCGAAATGAGACTTGTGACTTCAGGCAAACACTGAATCCTAGAATGCCTGACCAGGAAGGGGCCTTAGAATCTGGGAGAGTCTGATGCACTCACTTTCCAAGTGTGAACACTGACACCTAGAGAGGATAAGGGACTTGCCTCCATTCACACAGTAAGTTAGTTCATTGTTATACCAACTCCAAGGACTATGAGAGTAACTAGAAATATGTGTCTACTTCTGGTTAAATGTGGCAGACTGTTCATGCCAGTTTATTTCTACTTGCTTCTGACAGTCACAGAAACGAGAATAAAGGGATATAATGTAAAACCCACAAGGATGAGGGAAATGGCGGAGGAGACAGTAGTGGGCATGACAGGGAGAATGTGGTGGAGTGACGCTGAGGGGCAGAATGGAGAAAGCTGGGGGCTAACCAGCTACGTGGGCAGGGCCAGTCAGAGGCTGGCTGATGAATGCCACTGAGCCCAGCAAGTTCAGGAAAGGAATGTGTACAGAAGCCAAGATGCCTTCGGAGGCCAGGGTGGGGCACGGCTGAACAAAAGTTTGTCTCAGAGCTGTGTATAAGAAACGGATCCGCAGCTCTCCCCATCCCCCAGCAGTCTGGAGGACTGTCTTTCCAGCCCAGGTGGCAGGCTGAGGTTTACGCTATGGAGAGGCGGAGCCAGAAAGGAGACCACATTCAGATCCAGGCGGCCCAGCGGCAGGAGAGGCCGAGGGGCTGCGCTGGAAACAGGAGTGAAGGTCTGTACACAGCGGGGGCCCGGGCTCCGTCTCCAGCTGGGCTTCTGGCAGCCTGGTTTGGAGGGCCTGGATGAGATGGATTAGCTCAAGCGAAAAGTCTTGCAGTGCTGATATTGCAGCAAAACTCTTGGCAGAATGGCTGGGTACTGGCCTTATCACTCTCTGGTGAGCCCCACAGTGGACGAGCCCTGCGTGTGCAGCTGGGACTCCCAACCAGCTGCTGCCTTCTTGGCTCCAGTACCGAAGGACCATCAGAAGTTGGGCAGAAGTCTCCAACATGAAAGATAAAGACTCTAACCAAAGCAAACCAAACAAGAGCAGCGAAATAGAAAAAAGAACTTGGGAGAAACCCTTTGCAGGTCATTAGAATAAAAATACCAAAAACATATATTCTTAGAGATAAAGAGAAGATGATAACGCAAAACACAAAAATACACTAGAAAAAGATGACTGTGCAGGGAGCACATAGAAGATCTTGGAACTATGAAGTGTGATGGCCGAAATTAAAAATTTAGTAACAAATTGAGAAGGTGAAGTTGTGAAAATTCCTTTTCACTTGCCTGAAGGGCTAAAGTTATTTCAAATTGAAAAGTAAAAGAAAAAAGTTCACAGGCAGAGGATATCAATAACAGTTGCTATCAATGGGACTAAGTTAATGTCATAAGGACATGGTGATATATATTGCAAAGTATGATGGAATCATGTCACCTGTGATGTCATATATACAGCAAAAATGCAGAAGACGTGGTTGGCCTTTGCCCAGTGAACATTAAAGGGCCAAAAGTCCAGTTCCAGAAATGTCCTCAAGTCTTGTGAACAGTGATTCTCGACCTTGGCTGGCTAGTAGAACTAGAGTCTGGTTAAAATGAGACAGGGAGGCGGGAGCATATAATTCATATTCAAAAGGTCTGGCATAGTGTCCAATCCTTAATTTGTTTTTTTTTTCAACTCCTCAGTTGCACGGGGGTAGAGAAACAACACCAGTGTTAATTCTTCCCTACGCTGAGGATCATGTGAACATGTTAACCAGCAGTTGAGGGGGAGGGGTGTTTATATGCTAAGATACCTTGACTGTACCATCCACGGATTCATACACCAATAGGTAACCGGTGACAGATGCCCTGGGGGGTCGCCAGGTGAGGAGGGCAGTTTCTGACTGAACTTCAGCAGCAGTCCAGTCTCTTGGAGGATCAAGATCTGGAGAAGATAAGTCATTTAATATCAAGTAAGTCAGCAATTGTAGGACAAAAATTCCCTAGCTGGGTATCAGGAGGCCTGAGTTCGAGTCCTTACCCTACCACTGTGCTACATGACCCAGGGCAGAAACTTCCCCATCTGTAAAAGAGGAGGTCTTGATTGGCCTTGTTTGGATTTGGAGAGAAAGACAGAGTTGTGAATATAATTCCCAACATCCCTTGCTCCTAAATAAGAGGACAGATGAATAGCTGACATGGGAGCTCACCCCTACTGAGAAGGCATTTCCTCCATTTCCCCGCTTGCTGCAGTTTGTAAAAAGATCTCAATGTATACAAAACTCAATGGACATCTAGGAAAACTTGCCTAAAAAATCTTTCTCTTAAAAATATTTCCTTGTCTAGAACATGGATCATTAAATATTGGGTTTCAGGCCAGTGGGGACTGGTTTTCCACTTAAAAAGCTTTCCTTTTAAAACTGTTTCCTAGTCCATGGGAGGACAGGGTCATTTTGGTTCAAAAGGAAATGGTGTGTTTCTTAAGGTCCTGACTGAGGGGGCACTGGCAAATTTAGCCAATGCTGACATCATCACGTTGCAGGGATCTGCCTTAAGGAACAGCTGGGGCAGATGGCCATTTAAGGTGGAGGCTGTGGGTGGGCGCCTTCCAGCTCTTGGTGTCTCTGTACCTGTTGTGAACTTGGTAGAGATGATTGAGCTCTTCTGGGGCCCCTTCTCTGCAAAGATCCTCAGCGTGTATTCTGTGGCAGGCTCGAGGTCTGTTAGGGCATACTCCACCATGTTCCCGGACACGGTGCGTGTGATTTCTGGCACTAAACATGAAATACACACACTGAGACGGTCACCTCTCCCTGTCCGAGCCTTCCGCAGACTTGGCACAAAGTACGCACACCTACTTCTAATGCAGAAACTTTCAGTGACCCCGCAGAAAAGCAGGTTTGATTTCTGAAATGACTCACTCTCCTTTCTCTCTCTTGAGAACTCACCTCATATACAAAAGGATTTATCATACAGAGAGTGGATTTTTCTAGGCACCAAACCAGCAGGGGAACTGGAGGTCAGGAGGTTTTTCCACAGGGTGCTGGCAGGAACAGCTCTGCAGCTGGGGCACAGGAACCAGCAAGAGGTAACACCTCCGAGGCTTGGGCTACCCCAGTTTAATTTGTCCCATTGCTTGCTCACTGCCATCACTTTTTTTTTTTTCATTTACCCACACATCTTTTTATACTTTGCCAAATATTGTCAAATCATTAGGCTGGGGGATCAGGAACATTGGGCCATAGCAGACAGACCAGAGTCTAGTTTGCCTTTTAGGCCCACTGGGTCAGGCCTGGCGGTGATGTCCTAGCGGTATGTGTTTGTTTCCTGATCACAGGTGACCAACCAACCTGGCTTGCCAGGGGCTGGGAAGTTGCCCAAGGTGTGGGACGTTGAGTGCTAGAACTAGGAAAGTCCCAGGCAAATTGGGGCCAGTTAGTCACCCTACTCATTATCCATCCATGAAACACCCCCTCTTCTTGGACCAGGCCCTTTTATAGCCTCCATCCACAATTTCCATAAATCCCATGAACTATATACCCTGATCTATTTTTGGTGAAATAATGTCATCTTTCCTGACTCAGAAGAGGTTGCTCATAGGAAATATTTAAGAATTGAAGAGTAAAAAGAATAACTCCCCAAATCCCTTCTCTCCCTTCCCCCAGAAACTCACTCTAACCTCACAGAGAACTAACTCGTAGGTAGACGCCATGGTTGAATTAAGATTTCCAGAGGTCCCGGGCGCAGATTAAGGTGTCCTCTCATATTGTCACTGAGAGTAAAGCAATACTGAATCATAGAATATGAAATTTACATATGATTTGGGATTTAAATAGTACAATATTTTCTAAAGTAACTCATTACAAAGGTATGGCTTTGCTCTTTAAAAAGGAATCTCTCTTTGTCCTCTCCTTTATTTGTATTTGATTTTACCTTCTAGTGGCTGTGGTTTGCTGGTACCCCAAATACGTGTTTAATCTGCTAACTAAATGAGCACAGAGGGTTGTAGAGATAAGAAAAGTAATTCTTGATTTCTCCATCAAATTTGCTGCATCTGGCCACCTCCATGGGTCCTGAGAAGCCAGGGCTCTCTGGCACCACTGGAAGTAGCCTGTTTAAGATTTTAGATTCTGGACTCCTTTCCAAGAGATGAGAGCTGCTGCCTAGAGAGGGTGGCTATGCTGACAGGCAGAGAGACCTGCAGGAGGACAGGGATAGCTGGGGGAACGTGGGCAGGCTGGAGATGCTTTCATTCTTCTTCAAGCAGCCTACTGGCCTCCCCTGATGTAACCACAATGTTGATGCTCTTTCGGTTGACAACAAGCAGAGGGTGATGGGTGGGGAGAACAGCAGGACAGGAGCTGGGAGGGTCTTGGGCACAACCTTACCTTTCTCCCCTGTGTAGGAGATGACGTAACTGTCCACAGGGGCAATGGCTGGCTGCCATGTGGCCAGGGCTCCCGAGCTGGTGATGTTGGCTGTCATCAGGCCAGATGGGCCATCCAGAGCTGCAAAGAAAGATGGTGATATGTTGAAGAGATAGACAGTCATGGGACAGGACATCAGACCACAGCTGCTGTCCTGTCTATGCTGCTCTTGGACTCCTGGTAACACAGTGCCCATTGCATGGACAGTTCCAAGTCCCGGGTTTGGAGCCAGGATGACCTGGGTTTGGGTCATGACTCCTTCCCTTGCTGGCTGGGTCACCTTGGGTCTCTATTTCCCCACCTGTAGAATGGGGACAGCAATTCTGTCTGGCTTCATCCTTTGGTTTTCACATGATATTATAGGTGAAAGGTGCTGTATAAACTGCAGAAGGCTGAACACATGACAAAGGTTATCATCATAGTTCACATTCCTTTCTCCCGGGAAGGAACTTACAAAAACAGAGACTTAGAGAGTAAAGGCTGCCCAAGGCTTTTCTGGGTGACGAGTGATAGCTCTGACTAAGTGGCTTCTGGACACTATGGAGCCTGGTTCCAGAGGCTGGTGGCCCCGGTTTCACCTTGGCTTCCCTGTCTAGTGCCCTTGGGTCATTTCTCTTCTCAAAACCTTATTTTTTTCAGTTGTCAGAGGGCAGCTGTTGTAAGGATGAATTAGACAATGAATGTGAGTGTGCAAGGGGCAGCTCAGTAAATGCAGCTGTTATTAACATGACTAGTGAAGCTATTTGGAGTCTAAAATATGATTTCCAAATGACTCATACTAAGAAAGATGGTATCCATGGGACCCCGGCCCATTTAACTGACCACTGCTACCACTCAATTACTCCGGGACAACAGTCCTGAGAGGATGGAGGGCAGCTCTCATCAGCTCATTTTAATGATGAAGGTGAGAGATGAAATGCCTGGCCGGAGAGTCAGGGGGTGGTGGAGTGATTTTGGGAGCTCCCATCAGCTACTTCAAGTTCCTTCCTGTCTCATCATGCCTGTATAGAATCTCCTTTATCGAGGACAATGGGGCCTTGGGAGGAGACACATCCAGCTTTTGCAATCTGTTGTTGCAGAAAATCCATGAATGAAAGATTTCTATGGCGGAAATAAGGGTCTGTGTGGCAGGGCAGACAGAACTCTGGGTTCAGATGGGATGTTTTAATTGCACATTATCAACTCTTTTAGATTAGGATATTTAAAAAATTTCCTGTGAGGCCCATTCTTTGGATCCCATAATGGATTAGCCTGGATAATTGCTCATATATCAAAGGATAAATTGTTTAGAGACACAGCTGCCTAAACAGAAAATTTCCACTTCATTATCCTTCCATGCAATTCATTATTTCCCCCTCCTTACAGTGTGCTGTAGAAATCAGTTTATAATTGGAAAATAATCCTTTATTTTAGAAGAACATAGAGTTTGTAGCGAGACTGACCGAAGTTCAACTTTGCTTCCAGCACTCACTCGCTATGTAGCTTTGGCCAAGGTATTGATTTCCCTGGGTCTCTGTTGTTTCTTCTGTAAAATGGGAATGATAATAGCCATTTAAAAGTTTTAAATGCAAAGGGTTTAGTAACAGTGCCTGGAATACAGCAGCTGCCCAAGCAGGAGTAGTTACTTTATAGCTGTCACTGTTACACGTCCACGAGAACAACTGCTTGGAAGGACCCTTGCCATGGTTCCAGGCACCAGGTAGGGAAGGGAAGGAGGTGGATCAATGTGTACAGTCATTTACATTTACAGATGCTTTACACGCATCATCTCGGGTGATTCTTACACACTCTGCACAAGCCGCAGAACTGTACCCATTTTACAGAGATGCAAACTAGACCCTAGAGAAATTCACTGGCAGCTCATGTATTAGAAGTGATAGACTTGGTGTTTCAGCCCAGGTCAGTATGACCCCCCACATCTGAGCTCTTTCACATGACTCTAGGGTATGGAGGGGCCAGAAATGAGGCTCCTCATGCTCTGAATCTGGTCAGTCCCCTTCCCCCTAGGATTTCCTAAATAACACACTTTGTTTCCAGCTGCCGCACCATGGACAATAATGCTGAAGGTGAGAAAAGCACCTGTGGTGAACGATCCTGAGACGGGTTCGCTTTCCTCGAAGCCCTTCATGGCGATGATGCTGACGAGGTACTCCGTGCCAGGCAGAAGCCTCACCAGCCTGGTCTGGGGCTCGGTTCCACCCACCGTTACCACTGAGGGTGTACCTGGAACAGAGGCAGTGAAGGCGGGAACCGTGAACCTCACTGAAACTCACTGTTGCCCTAAGAATGGGTGTATCCATTTTGGAAATGAAGCCGTATCTTCATCCAATACCACTTTCTTGACTTCTTCTCATTTGCTCCTATCCGCTGGCATAAAAAAAGAGGTCTTACTTTTTGTATAATGCTTTTTCCATCTGTGCAGATGCCAAAAAGCGAGCCAGGAGAGGAAAACACATGAAGTCACAATGTGCTAAAAATGGCAAGTTTCCGTTCAGTACGGAGCTGGCATGTGGTGCACATTTTATTTATTTATTTTTCCCACAAAGAATATGGGAAGCTCACTATGTATATCTGATCTATTTAATCCACTGTCTTAGCTTGGGAAACAGACTCTTTTATTAGCAGAGATTCTACTATTTAAGAAAAGAAGATGGTCATAAACAAGTTTATACTCCATATTTATTTAAAAAGTCCAAAATTTCTATTTCTTAGAACTTGAGGGCTGGTGAGGAGCTTGTACATCAGCTGGTCAAACACCCCCTAGAGATGCTATAGCATTCCTCTAGAGAGGTTATCAACCACCTTCTCTGTACACACTTCCACTAATGGGGGGCTCACTGTCTGCCAGAATGTCTTTAGACAGATTTGACTCTGCTTTGCCACACTGGTCTCTAGCGTAGCCCATGTGCTCTGAACTAGAGCTCTGAACTCTACTAAGTCATAACTCCCCACCTCACACAGGTGAGGACAGATTTGGGGAACAAAGGGCAAAACCTCACATATATCCAGGGCAAGACCAGCTTTTCAGAGACGTGCGCTCAAAGAGGAAAAGGCCAATGCATTTAGTCTCCTGTTGTGTGAAAACAGTATTGGGCATCTATTTCTCCTAGAAGGTTAGACTTTCAAGGCTGGAAAGGGTCTTCGTAAAATGACCCTTTACAAGGTAGTTTTCCCTAAGGCTCTCATAGCTCTTTGCAAATGAAGTCTGTGCAGATGGTCTCAGATATAAGGAAGTCATTTTCTTTGGTCATAATGTTTAGGAGGATGGGAATGATCATGATCTCCTCACTATTTCACCCCATCCCCCTCCATATTCCTCTCCCCTTCCCCTCTTTGAGCCCCGTACCTCCTGCCATGGGCACGTAGGTAATCCGGAAGCTCTCCACCTGGGTAGTGGGTGCGAGCCAGCTGACAGTGGCCGAGTTCTCAGTGATGTCTGAGAAAATGATTTCCTTCGGGGAGCCCATGGCTGTCAAGGAGAGAGCACAGAAGAAACCCAGAAACAGTTAACTATCTTGGTCAATAATGATTCTTCCTGGGTAAGGAATCCTAGTCCCTAGAGTCTGTGTCCAAGCCAAGCTTTTAGGGTGGAGATTGCGGTGATCTGTGGTCAAGTTGTGACTTGAGGGAAACAATTGTTCTTTCCTTCAGGTCTAGAGCCCATCAGAGAGAGCAGCCATTTGGTTTCATCCAAGGAGAATATTAACAGAGCAGCTGACTTCTAAGGAAGTGAAGGTGAGTGGTTTCACAGCTTGGATCACGCCCTCCTTTAAGTTTTTATTTTTAGCATCATCTCATAGCTTCACTTTCTAGTTCCTTTTATTAAACACCAATACTTGACTTGTACAGGTTTTTGCAATTTATAAGGATTAACCCTCATTTAGAAAACCTGAAGAAGAAGGGGTGGTCATTGCCATTTCACAGAGGAATAAACTGAGGCTTGGTTCTCCAATAAACATTCCTGTGGTGTGACCTTTCTGGGTCCCAGGACTGGGCAGCAGAGCCAAGTACAGCCCAGGGATCTTGGAAATAATGTGCACATAGAAACTGACCTCAAAAGACCCGTTCCCAGAACTGGATGGGGGTCCAGAGCCAGGGGATCAACCTCAGGCCCCTCACCAAAGCAAACACCCATGGACATGGGGACTACCTGTGGGGAAAGCCATGCCCAGGAGACAGGTTCTGCTGTACAAATACCTTCCCCCAAAACCTAGTTTCCTTTGGCTTTTCTCTGTGTGTTTTTTGGCTTAGCTGTTTGCCCTCTTCAGCTGACCATGCTGAACCAGAGAGTTCAGGAAACGATTTTCAGGTCCCCCGGGAGCTCGCTTCCTCATCGTCCGTCTCCCCTCTCCCGCCCAGCTGACCATTAAGTTCTGAAGGCCGCAGCCCGCTCTGGGGGAGGTTTCTCCCCTCTCCGTTCCTGTTTGCTTTCTTTCCTCCTACGCTTTCTCCCGTGGCCTGGAGCACCCTCTCCCCAGACTCTGGCCGCCTGGGGGTTTTGTTCTCTCCCTGGAAAGCTTTGGAAAGCACAAGGGTGTGGCGAGAGCCTGGGAGACTGTGGCTGTCCAAACACCACAGAGAGGCTGGGCGACCTGGGCGGCAGGTCCCCCCACCTCTGTGAGCCTCAGCTGCTCCCCCTGTCCGGCGGGAGAGGCGGTGCCCACCTACAGGAATGTTCTGAGGATTAGCAAAGACAATGGGTATAAAACCTTAACACAGCATCTGGCCCACGGTAAGACTTCAGTAAACATGATCAGCCTCTCTTTATTTCCTTTCCCATGTGACTTTTCCCTCCAAGAACCACCCTGGATTTTGAGGTAGCCCTCAGGACAGAGCTGGAGGAGGCCAGGTGAGCGAAAACCCCAGTGGGGTGGGTGAGTTTAGGCACTTCAGCTCTCCTGCTGCTAGCCTGCTCCACTGTGACTGTAAACCTCACTACCACAGGTCCTGGCACATTTTGGAAGGTGTGGCCATACATTCTTTCTATAGATCCCAGTTTTCTGATCTGCAAAATGGGCCATGATCTGCTCTGTCTCAGAAACCCTAAGAGTCAATAGCTTGGTCCATTATGCACTCCTGAGGGCTGTGCTTGCTAAAGCAGCAGTAGGAAGATGGCCATGTGTGCCCTGAAGGAATGGTACTGTAGCAGTGGAATTCCAGGGTCGAAGGGTCTGATATTTTCAGACAACAGATCCTCCTAGGGGCGGAAGATTTTGTCTCTTTCCACCAAACATAGAGGCCCTAAGTCTTCAGCCCTACAGTAGGGGAGATGGTCGATGGGAACCTGAAGGTAGAGCCTCACAGAACAACTAATTCATGCCTAGTGAAAAACTGGGAAGACCCAGGCAAGCAGTACCTCAAGCTCTCTTTCCAAGTGGAATCTTGGTCTTCAATAAAAACTCCATTTGAGAAATATCTCAAATTGCTAAACACTCTCAGGAAGGCTGAGGAGGGCTTCAACCAGTAGGGGAATGCTTAAATAAATAAGGTTTATGAAATTATCTCTGAGATCTATTAATAAGCAAGAAACACATGCACACATATAGCCTCCCAACCCCAACACATGCACCAAGGTATGTTAACCATTGTGCCAGAAAAAAAAGAAAAAGAAAGAACATAGGTTAAGGTCTAATTTTGTCTATCTATATAGAGTATTTCTGGAATAATACAGAACAAAGTGGCAAGAGGGGTTGCCTCTAGATAGAGCAGCTGAGTGGCAGGGACACAGTAGAATGGAGATTTCACTGTGTATCTTTTAAAAAATTTTTGAATTGTAAACCAAGTGGCTCATTAAAAAAATTTATGTTAAATCACCCAAACATAATAATAGCTAATATTGTTAACAATGGGCAAGGAAGGAAGCTGAACACTTGACAATCATGATCTCATTTAAACCAGGGGATGGAGGCTCAGAGAGGAAAGGAGACCTGCCCAAGGTCACACAGCTGGTAAGAGGTAGAGCAAGGATTTGACTCCGAGAAATCTTCGCAGAGGACACAGGGTTACCCCCGAGGCTGGGCTGCCTCTAAACACCCTCTCTGCCTCTGGGCCCTCAGGGCTGGCAGCCTGTGCTCAGGGAGGGAGAGGAGAACCTGAGGAGCTTTATAAGGAAAAAGAGGAACCGAACATCTCAGGGAAGGGTTTACAACTCTGCAAGGGAGGAAAGAAGAGAAGAGAAAGCAAAAGAGAAACCGCATAAAGCTGATGAGGCGCAGGTGAAAAGTCAATGTCTGCTGTGTCCTGTCCTCTCCAAGGGCTGGGGCGCAGGCGTGCAGACACACATACACACGCGCCTCCTTGTCCATGAAAGGCAAGGCCCCAGAAGGGGAACTCAAAGACAGGGCTTTCCAAAAAACAGGATCTGTCTCTCCTTTTGTTCTTAAAAAAAAAAAAAAAACCTCATGATTATTCATTCTCTGTTTTGCTTTAGAACTGCAGGGTCTCTAGAAAAAAGATCAGCAAAACAAAATCAGTGATCAGAAGTAAACTTTGAAAAGCAGTGTTTATAAACCAAGGTCAAAACCAGGCTCTGCGTCTGATCTGGAGTTGTTTTATGGGCAGCCACAGCGGAGGAGACAAGGACCCCCGCATCCCGGGGAGAGGGTGTCCGAGTTAATGAGAAGCAGGGTTTTTCCTCTGACTGAATTGCTGCCTGGATTTCAGCATTTCCTCCACGTCTACAAATACTCATTATGACTTCTAAATATGGATTCTTGGAGCTCATTAGGTCTCGAAGGTTGACATGATAAAACACCCATCTCTGGACACAGAGGGGGTTTTGGCTAATGTTCCGCTCTGTGCCTGCCAGAGATGGCAAGTATGTATAGTCACTGGTTATCTGCCATCCAGCCCGCTTATATTTAATAGTATTAAACTAAGTTAGTGTTTGGGTTCTATCCCTAGTCTGGTTGTGTAAATCCCTTCACCTTTCTGGGCCTCACATTCTTCCTGCACAAACAGCAGGCCCCGGGGTCCCTCATTTCTCAAGAGGTTCTCTTTGCTTCGCCCTCTGGTTCCTCTTTGACGCTGCTGTCTGTTGTGAATTCTGTTTCTGATCTCTCTGGTTTCCACCCTACCTGCTTTAGGTCTTCCCTTTTCTCTCTAAAGTCCTGTCAGTATTATTAATATGAAGATTTCTATTATTAGCCATCTTTACCTCCTTGAAAAGAGCTCATATGAGTTGCTCTGAGAATCAAATACAACAAGCGAGCTTCATGAAGAGCAGCCTGTTATCCTTGCCGGCTTCCCCCTTTTCTCCTCCCAGACATGGTACTGATGATTCACACAAGCATTTTATGAATTTTAACCTTTATGGGGTACCTCCCCCATGATCTCCTGCATAGTGTAGTTCAAACACTTTGCCAAGAATAAGAAAGTGTACCTCTGGATAAAAAATGAAGAGATACTAGGTGGAAGGAAGGGTCTTTGGAATTGTGAAAAATTCGGTAATTGTAATGATGATGATGTATTCATGACAATTATGAAAATGTTAACAGCTCTCATTTGCTGAGCCTTTGCTATGTGCCAGGCCCTCTGCTATGGGCTTTCCAAGTATTATCTCATTCAGTCCTTACAGCCCTGTTAAGTGAATGGCATCACACTCCTTTTGCATAAAGACTTAGCTAAGTTGTCCACGGTCACACAGTCTCTGTAAGAGAAAGAGCCTGGATCTGAATGCAAGCCTGTCAATGTCCGGAGCTCTCTTAATTTCTGGGCCCTTTGAGGAGCCATCCTGAGTCATGACTTTCCCCCGTTTTGTCTTTTCATGCGCATACCTGTTGTTGCTATGGCACTGATTGGCTGGGATCGCCTTCCACTAGTTGTTCCATAGAGTTCAATTTCGTATTCAGTGGCCTCTCTGAGACCTGTTATGTCCCTGGTACGTTCGGGGGCAAGAAGGGTTATTTCCAGTGGCTCAGACTGCTTTTTGGTGTCTCTGATTTTGAGAACAAAACTGTCGAAGACCCCTTCATCAGCTGTCCAGGACAGACGGAAACCGTCTGGAGTGGCATCGGAAACCAGAAGGTTGTCAACTTCTGGCTCGGCTTCTAGACGGGGATAAATGGTGGAAGGAGGAGAGAGACAGCATCATTATCAGACCGTGCAGCCTTCTCTCCAGTAGGTTTATCAATATGCAGTGATGCCCTGGCTCTCAGAGCTAGAAGTGTCCTGAGATACCAAAAATGAAATGATGCAACACGAACAAGTCGAGTAGGTCTAAAGAGAGGGAAAGATGGGGTTGACACATTCAGTACAAGCCAAGTGGATGCTTGCATATGTGAGTGGTGTCTAAAAGCAATTCTATAAATCCACATCTGGACTCAGCATTGGCCCCTTGCATGCATTATTAAACAAGTTCAAAGCCAGTAACTTATTTACATTTACTCTCTGTGTTCCAATGGCTGAGTGCCCATCCTCTGTGAGACTTTTTCTTTTCTTTTTGAAAAGACAAATAAACCAGCATTAACAATCTGCAGAGCTGCCCATCATGATACTGCTGATTACACTTCCCTTGATCCTAAGCAAAATGGCTTTTAAAATGTTATAAGTGTTATGGTCTTATTGCTTTTTTCTTGGAGCTGTTTTACTAAAGCAAGCTCCTTCCCTTGACTTTCTTGCTTGCTTGCTTTTTTTAACCATCAGATAAGTGTTCAGATGGTAGAATGGAGGCTTGGAACCTCTTGTGCTGTATTCTCTGGACTCAGGTATCATCTCAGATTGCCTTAACTAGATGAAACTCAAAGTCAAGGCAAATTTAGAACTGAGTTTCCTGAAGTGTACTCAGAGCAAGCTACTCCTGTTTGATCCTCTTCCTTAAAGGGTATCCATTGTCAAATAAGCTTGGGAAATACTGCCTGGGTAGCCCTTCTTGGTGAGAAATATGTGCATTAGGATATTCTGTAAAGCCTTGTGGTCAAAGACCCTGTTGAACTGTGTTTAACTCTGTGTTTCTGAAACTTACTTGAACATGAAACTTCTTTACCAAGGAGGGCCTTTGAATATTCTGCAGAGCTAGTAATCTCTAGGACGACATTAAGAAACACAGATTTTTGATTGTTAAAGTTTTTAATGCTATATTTCACTAAGAATTTTTAGTCTTGAGAAAATTATGGATTTAGTCTGTTGAAGAATCTCTATGACATTAGTATTTACCAATATAATAAGTTTATGGTTTTTCAATGACAAGCCCACCTGGAAGTGTATCAAGATCACAGTTGAGATTTTGAGATGGCAAATGCTGTAAGTTTCCAAAATATACTCATTGGTATATTTGAGAAGGCTGAAATGTAGCTGGGGACCAGGCAGGATGGACACAGGGGAAGGTGATGTGGAGTAAGCACACAAGAGCTGGGAACAAGACACAGTCTCAAGGATTTAGGACATCAAGTAGAAACATTTCGGCCTTCTCATTTCTGGGATGGGTGGGGGAAAGACCAGGGATAGAGTTGGGGAAACATAAAAGAACAGGCCACATCTGTGGATTAAGTAGAAAACATGGACAAGGATGTTAAAGCCATGGTGATCTGGTAGATGGATTACATGGAAAGAAACCAAGAAAAAGAGAAAATGGCTCACTTGAAGAAAAATACCTGTAACAATCTCAGCCCTCAAGGGCTTGGTCTGATGCCCTTGGATGAAGCCAGAGACCATAACCTCATAGCCAATGCCAGTTATGAGGCCTCTAAGCTCCAGCTTCCTCTGGGTTCCTGAAAGTGTGAATTCTTGGGGGTCCAGAAGCTTCCCAGAATCCATCACCGTTACTAGGAAGCTGTCAAAGGCATTCTCCGATGCCATCCAGGAAACTGTGAACCCGTAGGGATTAATGTCGGAAATGGTTAGGTTTTCCAGAAGGGGCAGGGCCTCTGAAAGAAGGCAGGAGTGAAAATAACTCAGGTTAGCAGCACTGATTCTACTGGGATAGCACAAGTCTCCATGAACAGTGATAGATACCCAGTCAATCATTAAATTGTTATATGCTCAGAAAATGAATAGTAAGAGCATAGTGGAAGCCAGATGATGTTATCTTGTGTAAATCTCTTTGACAAGCTGAGAAGATAGAATTATTCCCACTATGCAGATATGAAAACTGAGCTCCAAAGAGGTTGATTGACTTGGCCAAAGTCACAGCGCTAGTATGCGATAGAGCAAGGTTTTTAGCTGGGTCTCACTCCAAAAGCCATGACTTTTTTCCAATATAACTGGATATCTTATGTTGGGTTTGAACCCCTTCTCTACTTCCCACTGTCTTCTGGTCTTGAAAAATGTCAGTTTTATTGTTTTTTTCAAATATACTTCTTTTCAGTACAGTTCATATGTTTCTATTCCACTTCTAGTTCACATTTTGAATCAAGCTGATGAGGCCAATTAGTGGAATACATTCTCACAAGGTGCAATTAAAGGGAGGAGGTAATATTTTTCATGTATCAAAATAAACAAATTATGGTTATGGCCCAGTAAGGATTACTAAGATTTGCTTGTTCTCTTATTTATTTTCCTGGATAAAGGTAGGAGATAAGGACACATCTGGTTCTGCAGTAAGTTCTGTCATCATCATTTGTTCATTCATGCACCAAAGATCTGTGGCCTAGGCACTCTTCTTAGGTTCCTGGGGGCCTTTCCACACATCGGGAATCTTAAAAGAAGTGAGCTTATATCAGCCAAGTTTTTGTCAATACTTCCCAACTAACAATACTTCACATCTATTAGCCTATTTAATCCTCACAATGTCATTGTAAAATAGATATAGCTACTTGTCCCATCATCCTCAGGACATCTAAGGGAACAGAGAGGTCAACGACTTATCTAAGACCACCTATCTACTAGGTGGCTGAGATGGGATCCAGCACAGGCCATCTGACTCAAGTTCAGTGCTCTGACCCCCAGTCAACGTCCGTCCAATCAGTCAAGCTCATCAATGCTGACAAGTCTTAAGACATAAGCAGGATTGGTGGAGAAGGTCCAGTACCTCCTTTCTAGTAAAACAAAACATAGTAATAGTGGATGTATGTATTTTCTGGTGGAGGGGGCATGGGGGAATTCCATGGCCAAGGCTACTTCAGCTCGTCTACTTTAGGGCCTTCTTTTCCACTGGCAGCTAAACTGAAACTTTCAAAGAGATAAATGACCTTAACTAATGCCCAGCGTCCAATCCACAGGATATAAGAAAAACATTTTAAAAAGAAGTGTTTGGTTGACTGAATGAGCAAGTGGATGAATGTCCTTATCCCCTAAGCAGAAATTTAAGTTGTGTTGTGGATTGCACTTCCCCTAATTATTTGGATACACTTGATGTTTGTTTTGAGGCTTTTAGGAAAAAAACACAAAACACATAAGGATCTCCCCCAAATCATAACTATCAAAGGCAAAGATGAAATCACATGTACTGTGGGCTTCTTAGTCTGCAAGACAAGGGGCTCAAATTCTGTGGCTGAGTTTTGTTTAGATAAGTGGTGCCTCTCTTTGATAGCTGGCCTCTTTGCACCTCCACAACATCAAAGCAGCCAGTTCTGATGAAAAGGAGGGTGTGCAGGCTAATTAGTCTATCAAGGGCTTGTTGTTTATAGCTCTTCACGTTCAGTTTTTTTCTTTCTTTTTCAAAGTATGCTTCTTTTAAAATGCAGGATCTTTTCACTTCAAGGATTAGCTAAAACAATGCCTAACTGGATCTAGGATTCCCAAGACCAGCCTCTCCCAGCCTCCCTTTCTTTGCTCTGTTCTGTGGGAGGTCCTGCTACAAGTGAGGGCCTGACCATCTGCGGGGCTATTCCTCCCCTCCTGGGCAGTAAATGCGTGAGAATGGGAGCCCCCCCTCCACATTACCACTAAGAAATGACCATGTTCTGCATTCGAAGACTTGTCTGAATGACTGACTGAACTCACACTAGGTAACTGGACAGAAAATATAGCCGCATTTTGATCTCACGTTAGTACTCGCCCAGTGTTCTCTTTAAAATAATAGGAAAGGCATGACTGCACAGGTCTATTGTTTCTAACTAAGCTTGTGGCTTACTTTTAAAAACACTACTTTTTTCATACTGTTGGGAGATAGCAGAAAGCAAAATGCCAGTTGGATGCCAGGTAGTTAAATTTCATCATGTCCATTTTATCCTTGAGACAAGGTTGCTAGAGGCAACTGTGGGCATTCTCTCTTCACACATAAGGACATTGGGGTTCGGAACAGTAAAGAACCGGCCAAGGCTATACAACTGAAAAGATGTAGAAGAGGATTAGAAACTACTCAGGCCTGATCTCAAAATCCTCATTCTTCTAGGACGCCACACTGCCTGGAATTAAATATTTAATTGAATTTATTAACATATCTTATTTACAACAGTTTACACCCTGGGAGAGGCCTGGTTTAATGTGAGAATCAGATGTCAAGGTTGCTGTCCTGAAAACTATCATTAGTAGAAGGCAAGAGACTTCCAAATATTTTCAGAGGTTTTTCAGGCTACAGATTTGATAAATCGACAAAATTCACAGACTTTGCCATTGATTTAGGATAATCTCAGGACAGAAACAGAAAGCCATCTTTTTATGTAATTCAAAGAGAATTTAGAAGTCAAGTTCAATAAATGGTTATGGTTTAATTAAGCTTGGGATTTATCTGCCATCCTAAGCTGAACCTTCATTAATCTGTTGTAGTCAATTTTAGTAAGTATTTTTTAGAAGGAAAAGATAAATTATTATATTTCTGTAGCAGGGAGTTTATGGAGTGCCTTATCTAGCATCATCTATGGACAAAATTCCTGTTGAGGATGTTACTAACTTAGAACTTACTCTTTAGCCAGAATTTCCAAACTGTGACTCAGATAGTCTGTAGAACTGGGCACAGAAATCCTTGGAAGCTTTATACAGTTGTTGAGCACATGGTCTCCATTTCCTCAAAGTGTCTGTGAAATACCCCTCTTTGCAACAGCACCTGCTTTCTTCACTTAGAAGTTTACATATGGAGTAAAGACTGTCTTGGGGGTTGAATTTCCCTTTCCACTGAATACCTATCACCTTCCCCTCCTCCCCACAACCCCAGAATTCTAAACAGACAAGCAAGAACCCTTGAATGAGTACCTGTCACAACAAAGGCAGTGAGGACTCTGGTGGGGTCCCCAGCCCAGGTGGTCCCTGCCACACTAACGTCATAGCCAGTGTTCTCCACCAAGCCTGTGACGTGTGTGTGCTGGGTGTCTCCTGAGACTGTGAATTGCTGGGACTCATGGAGCGAGTGAGAATCACTAACATTGATAACAATCTTTGCAAAAGGCCCAGCATGAGTGGTCCACGATACGTTGAAGCTGTCAGGAGTAATATTGCTAAGAATTAGCGTGCCCAGTTGTGCCTCTGGCTCTGAAGGGAAGGAATATGGGCAGAGAGAGAGAGACATTGTTAGAGGAAGCAGTAGATTTCTCCAGAATGTAGCCATAGACCCTGTGAAAGTATCAATCCCTCCAAATATTTTCAGAAAGCTAGTATATTAGGCAGTGTCTACATCTGCATTGACTGTAATGCTAGAGAATATATTGCTTTCTCAGCAGGCATGGATTTGCATTCTTTTTAAGTCTAGACATAACCATTTGCTAGTCATGAATAAAGAAAAGTGAACAAGCTATTAGAGCAGTAGATAGGATTAACATAAAGAGTATTAAGGGTGCATTTTCTAAGGTCTGTAATGGCACACTAGCTCTGATAAGATGCTCCAAGAGACTTCATAGCTTCATAATGAGTTATGCATGGTAAACACTGAGTATTCCATGTCACCCTAAAGACTCACACAACATGCTAGCAATTGAAAGGCCCTGAAATGCTGGTCTTTAAAGAAACCTACTTAATTTTGTTTAGCTCAGCATTTCATTAACTTACTGATCAATGAATGCCCTTTCTGTGGAATATTCTTCAGACATCTCAAGGAGCTGGTGTTCCACTGAGCATGCCTTAGAAAATGCTACTTTGGGGTTTCCTTTAGTCTTCTTTTGATTGTATAACTTAAAGGCTAATACCCATACAAGAGAAATTCTCCATATTGTTTAGAAAGCCACAGGTATACACCGTAGGAAAATCTGTATCTCATCCAAAATACTGTAAAGGTAAAAATGGTGTATGGGAAGTTAGAGGAAAACTTTACTTTTCAGATCAGGAAATGGGTAATTTTCACTTATTGGATGATTTGGAAAGACGATGGTTCCACTGAGGTTAAGTTTCTCCTGCCCCTTAAAGTCTAAACAATCAGAGTTGAGAACAACTCATTTTTAATGTAGGGCCTGTGCTGTTGTTTCAACTGGGATGCTGTATAGGGTCTGGGCTCTTAAATGCATTTTTACCAAATAATACTAACATTTAAATAAGTTCAACTCAGACTGTATATTTTAGAAAGAGGCAACAGTCCTGGAGGCTTGAGATACTAGGATCACGTGTTGGGGCTGGGAAGAAGCAGACAATTTCTTCCAAGGACTTGACAGTTGCTCTGCTGCAGCTCCAGGATTTGGAGGAATTTGCATTCTTTTCAAGTCTAACATTGGACCACCCTGAATGGGATAACTGCATGGCACAGTCGATGCCATAAAGTCTCCAAGCACAAAGAAGGATCTGGCCCAGAAGCCAGATATAGCCTTAAAACATAGCAAGGGATTTCTTACTTAGCACTCAGTTTGAGAAGTTAATGATACCATGATTTTTAGCCACAACATTGGCAAATTACTTCAACTACACACAAGGCAAAATCCTCCAAAGAGGAGTTGGTTTGCTCTTTCTCCATATTTTGTTCTGCAAGCAGTCTCTCAAATTAAGGATGCATTTTAGGACTGTTCTCATGCTACCATACAAAGATGGGCCGTGCTAACACATTCACCATGCAGAATGAGACCTAGATTCTCAAGGTCAGCTTGACCTCCAGCTGTTTCCCAAAGGGTGCACCCCAGCTGAAAAGCGAGAGGCAAGGAAATGCTCAGAAAGAGAATGGTAGTTAGGCTACAGTCAGTGTTCCATGCAAGCGAGGGACATTTTTCACCCACCACTTCTAACCCTTTGAAACAGTTGTTTGACATGCTGTCTGCTTGCAGGAAAGACAGATGTTTTAAAAAATTTAATGCTCTGAATGTTCACCACATGCATCAAGATTTGGACAAGATGACAGATGAAAGGAAGACTCTGACACTTCGTCTGAGATTTCAGTGGATGACAAACATGCTTGATAGAGTAACTGTCAAAAAAGAGCAATCTGCTTGTAGGGAATGCAGGCCAATAAAATTCTCAAGAACAAGATGAGACCACTGGGGCCCCTCATGTGGGTCTTGGAGCATGCTTTAGGGGTCTCTTCTCTGCATGCTAACAGCACCACCATTTAAAATCATGGTGGAGAGAAAGAGAATGTACATCATTCTGGACCAAGGGACCAGAATGGCATGCGCACATCTCTTTGAATATGACATAGGCAAACTTTGATTAGAAAGACCACAGGCGGATGATAATAGGTGGAACTGGAAGTGATTATTTAAGATCAGATGAAAGGATGAATTAGAAATCAACCAAAGCAAGTCAGGTTAACTATACAAACAAACAGAACAACTCCAGATGTGAGTGGATGTTTAGGAAAAAGAAGTTGACTTTGAAATTCCTTAATTTGGGGTGAGAGTATTTCTTAAAAAGCCTTAATGTTCTGACTTAGGTAGGTGGCCCTATCGAATCTGACAAGGATGGGATAGAAGCGGGGGGATGAAAGATGGGTGGCAAGTGAGTTCTGGAATGCCCTCAGAGGAAGGCCAATGGAGAATGAAGAACCCGTCGTGGGAAATACCCATGGTTGTGCGGACATGGGGGTCTGAGTGCACTGCCCTCCGGTCAGCCCAGAATCCCTAACTTCCATAGGACAGCTACCAAAGGCAGACTCCTGTGCTTTCCAGAGATGGACACACTGCGCTGGGTCACATTTGAGATAGTGAGGTGTCTAAGAAGACGTTCAGCTACTAAAAAAAGAAGGAAGAAAATATGAAAGTGTATCAATTTGAAACACTATTATGGGGTCAAAATCAAAACATGTAAGACTAAATCCATAGTTTTAGACTTTACCCTCTGGTGAAAGAACTTGTCCTTTGTTGAAAACCAATTTGAACCATGAGAAACAAATATCCCTGGCTGATGGATTTTCTCCCCTCGGCTTTAGGTACTTAAACCTGGAGGAGCTGAGAACTAGACCACGCTGATCTCATGTGGAATGAGGACAGACCTCCCTCAGCTGTGGGTGACTTACATGATAGATAATGTTTATGCTATAATATCAATGCTTTTCTTGAATTCTCCAGAATGTGGACTCTGGTTTTTTTTCTGAATGATAAGAAGAAACTCTCCCGCACAAATAATCTCGTTTTTCAGTTTGTGATGCCTCATTTTATCTGTCAAGAAGAGGTATGTCCAAAATGTGCTAAGAATGCTCTTTTACGTGGACAAGGCTCTCCTTTCTAAATTGATGCAGAATTCTCTTTTGCTGCACACCAGAGAGCATCTCCCCTGGCACGTATGTCAAGATACCACAAATTTAAAGCAAGAGCTGTTCGCTCTTTGGTTGACCAAGCTCTTGTTTAAACATGACTACTCTGCTTTCATCCATTCACTGTTCTGGGGGCGAGACATGCTCTGGTCTTTTTTCCTGGAAGTGGCATTGGGATGGGGGTGGTCTGGATGGCCTTTCTCCCTCCTGCACTCATCTGATGAGTAATCTGCTCATTTTCATCACTCTCCTAGTTAAAAAAAATAAATCAGTAACAGTGTCAACACGACTTCATTAAATCATTGGATATATGGGTATTCAGAGGTGAAAGGAACCAGGAAGACCAAGACACTAAGGAACACAAAATATAATGTTTAAGACTTCTGTGACTGAGGTAGACATCTTTCCAAGTCAAGGACAGCTATCACGGTGGCTTTTAGCAACTGAAGGGGAGAATTTTTTTCTCCAGATTCCACATGGCAATCTAGACCGAAACTGTGTTTCCACTGCAAATGTCCTGGTCAGCGGTAAGCCAGTCAAGGGGCTGAATGGAAATCCACTATTTGAGCTGTTGCTGGAAGACAGTTATGTTAAATAACGCTCCAGCTGAGCCCCCCGGAGGAGTGAGTGAACTGTGGCTCATGCTTCCGTGCGTGAGAACCTGCAAAGAAAATTCTGGAGAGAGGGTGTTAGAAAGGGAAGAACGTGGAGGTACCTGTGGTGGCTGTGGCACTGATGGTTTTGGTCCGGATGCTGGGAGCGACGCCAGAGAGGTAGATAATAAAATCATTATTGGGGCGTAGCCCTGAGATGTAGGCAGTTCGTTCAGCACCAGAGATATTATATACCATCGTCTCTAGGAACCTATTGAAATCAACAATTTCAATGGTAAAAGTCTCGAAGGCTCCATCGGTAGCTGTCCAGGAGAGATTGAAGCTTTCAGGAGTTACGCTGGAAACATTTAAGTTTCCAATTTCAGGTTCTCCAGCTGCAAAAGGAGAGGCAGGAGAGAAGAAACAAATAGACATGAGTAAATCACCTGGCTTGTGCTGTTGGGTTGAGGTTAATAGGACCATAGCTGGGTCAAAAGATCTGATAGGTCAGGGTTATGGTGAAACGAAGCAGTATTACCAGTCAGTGCCAGTAGGAGGGAAAAATATGAAAAAGAAGCCTTGGCAATTAGATTTCTCAGTTCTGGAGCTGCCCTGTGATCAGGTTGGCTGAGATCCTGTGTGTGAGAACATAAACTGAATGATCACAGCAGGGACAGCCTAATCCTGGATACTTCCAGGATCCCCACTGCAGTCAAAGATAGGATGCTGGCAGCCATCAGTCTCTTGAATTGCATTCAGGAGACCAGGGTTACTTGGCTTCTTCTTGCAGACATCCTTTGCTTTAGGGAGCTGCCATTCATTCAGATGAAGACTCACCATTACCCTTTCAAGGCGGTGCCTTGAGTAATTCTTGGTATTTTCTTCCTACTTCTGACAAGGGCCAGCCGTTCTTACATTCTGTTAAAATAGTTTGTCCTCTCTTTACTGCTTCTATGTGGGCCAGGAAGGCTAGTACCGCACTGCCAACCAAGAGAGCTGAGCCAAGGTGAGGCAGTCAGGCAACCCTGGCTGGTCAAGAAATAACAGTTCGTCTTAGAGGTGGACCTACCAGGGCTTTTCTGAGCAACAGGAATGAAACATGCAGTTTGCTGGCAGAAGCAGGGTGTGAGAAGCAAGGAAGAAGTAGGCTTTCCCATCCCACCAGGCTTGGTGAGACAGATCAGATGGGACCGTGGCCCTTCCTCCCTTCCTCCCAACTCATCAGAAGCAAGAATCTTACGAGCTGTTATCATTAAAAAGAACACACAGAAATACTAAGGACACCCAGATCACAAGATCTGCAGGGAAGATCAGAAGTGGAGGACAATTTCTGTACCTTCTGGGAAGGGATGGTTTGTGGATATTGGCTAAAGAGCCCCGAGTTCTTCCAGGGCAGCCTCACCTGCAATTTCTAGGCACCTAGGCTCACGGTTCATGCAGCAGCTCGTCTGTGTTACACGTGTATCTCAGTGAGAGTTACTGAAATGATTAAGGTTAAAGTGTACAGCTATGCTTTTGCTGGAATCAACTAGGATATATAGGTTTGAATGAAATTTGGTTGCAATAATTATCTGAAAATGGGAAGGCATATGCAAAACCAAATAACAATGCCTCTACTGAGCTTCACACCCATGGAGGCACATAGGAAGACGAGCAGTGGGCAGCAGTGCTGGGGAAGGCTGCTCACTTTAGCAGCCTCCTGAGGAAATACTGACTGCCTCGTCACTCTCGCGGAGTGATCAGTAAAACATAATGCGCCCTCCTGAGTCTGGGCTGGGAGCGAGCCACGCAAAGGCCACAACTCCAGGAAGAAACTCTTGACTACAAGAACAAAAGGAGCATTCAGAGCTCTGACATTCACAGCCTAGAACATTCCTTGCTTCAAATGCTGCTGTGTGCACTGCTGCTAATGGATGGCTTTTTCTTTGGTCCTGTCTCCAGTCATAACTGTGTGATTTTTTTCTTTTTGGTTTAGCTGTTTGCTAATTTGATGTTCTAATAAAGACTCAGTATCTGAGACAATTGCCCAGAGGAGGGTAATTCAGTTCTCTTATTATACTCGATGCATTTTAAAGAAACATGTAAATTAAGACATTTCTTTTAAATGCAAGAGCCACAGCGCTCATACCCTTGAGGGATTTGGGATGGTAAAGCATCTTTTCCAACTGGCAAAAGGACTCTCTAAAGTAAATAATCTGTGCTTCACCAGAACCCACACGGGGGGAAGGGTTGGCTTTTAGTTATAGCCAAGCACTGGAGAAGAGAATTAAAACCAGCAGGCTGTGTTCTAAACAGATGCCATCATTCAAAAGAGATGCAGTTGTAGGATTGGGCAGTAAAGTGTCAGAGAGGCTGGAGGTCAGAAAAGGCAACATGTGTACATTCGTTCTCAACATGGTAAAGGCACCTGAGCCCGTAGGGAGGTCTCAGCACGCTCACCAGCAGCTAAGGGGCACATGGGAAGAACTTAGCGAGGGAAGCTGACGCCGCGCACAGTCTCTTGGAGAGGAAGCGGGGGACCTTGGCGAGAGGGCACTGACATTGGAGAGGAAGGTACCTGTGGAGGCGTCAGTAGACAGCACTGGTGTTCTATAGCCCCGGATCACCCCATAGATGGTAACTCTATAAGTGGTGGAGGCCTTGAGGCCAGGGACGTGCATGGTCCGCAGGCTGCCAGGCACCGTGAGGTTCTGGGCTGTGTCTACTCTGTTGGCCTCCTGCACCTGAATGACAAAGTGCTCATAGGCTTGGTCAGCTGCAGTCCAGTCGAGTCTGAGGCCATCCCAGCCAGCCTCGGTCACGGCTAAGTCTCCCAGCTGAGGGAGCTCCTCTGAGGAAGGACAGAGAAATGTTTGTCAGTTCTGCAAACCAGGAATGAGGAAACCAAAGGCCCCACAGCCTGGCTCTAGATGAGAGAGAGAGGGTGGGAAGAGAATTCTGTGTGCATGTGTGGTCATGCTTGGTCTCTGGGCATTTCCAGTCTGAACTGCGGGAATTGGGCCACAGCTTTTGTCAAGAGCTGACAATGGTCAGCGTGGAAACATGTGCATTGTTTATCCTTGCGATGGTAATGCCATCTGGGCCATCGCACAACCCCCCAGGAGGTCTCTGAGCGGGCACCGCCAGTGCCTAAAGGGCAATTGGAAAAGGTGGGACTGTGGGTCAGGGTAGGAGAAGGAATGGTTAGAATTACAGGCTTTGGAGGCAGCAGGGCCTTGGTTAGAATTCCAATGCTATTTGTTGGCTGCAAAATCTTGGGCATGTTGCCTAGCACATCTCTGAGCCTCACTCTCCTCATCTTTAAAAGGAGGTGACAGTACCATTCCATTGGATTAAATGTGTGATAATTGAATGATACTATTTATAAGCCTTTGAGGATCAGCACTTAGTGAGTGGCCAACATGTGACAGCCTAACAAACATGTCATTGTTTAGACATTTCCCCTTGGAAATTCTGTCATTTTGGAGAGAATTACCTGCTTCATTTCATTGCTGGACATTGGAGAGATCATCTCATTGCCGGTCACGTGCTATCTGACTGGGTTTATAAAGGGCATGCTGCCTTGGGTCTGGACATGTCTGATATTTTCTCTCTAGATGTCTCTTAACTTTATGGGATCAAAGGTTCTGCACTGAATTCTTGGCTTGGTTCTTGCCCTCCCACCTTGTTATGTTAGTACTTTGTGCCTGAATGAGGAATGGCTGTGTCATGAAGAGCAAGGCCATTTGTGTGAAATGAGCACCCAGTTTTAATTAAAAGTGATTATGCTTTGCTCAGTAAATGGTGCAGAGCACGGCCCACTATTTATTTTTCTACAATGTAGGAAGGAAATCCAATGTAGTTGTTATTGCTGATTTAGCAAGTCTAGATTCCAGATATGGAAAAACCCACTGCTTGGTGGGATGCTTCTCGGGGTTAAATGCAATCTCTCAGACTCTCTTTTTAAGGCTGAGGTGCCCATGGATTTGAAATTGGACAGGAAAATACCTGCAGGGATTTCAGACAAAAAAAGGTGTAAGGTATTTATCCTCAGGGGTCTCAGGATTCAGTGTACCGTGAGAGTCTGCGCAAACTCGACCCTTTTAGAGGGGCTGTATTTAGATCACATTCCATATAGAATCAGTGCTTTTGTGGAAGAACTGCATTGGGGACATGGATGCAGGCAGCCCCCTCCTCCTTCCCAGCTCTCCAAGAACAGCTGTTTTTTCATCTATCAGCTAGTGGGATTCCTTGTAAGGTTTCAGGTGCAAAAGAGGTTCTGCTGCTAAAACAAATTTGCGAACTACAGATAAAGACTGTTAGTGTCCTGCACCAGATCTTTGAGACCTGCACACAGGTCTCAAAGGCCCCATTTGCTCTTGTTTGGTTTGAAGATACTCCAGGAAACACAGGACAATGATAACCTGGCCAGCTTCAGTGGATTGCAACATCGCATTTCTTAGTTTTGGAATTGTGTGTAGTTTCTAGCAGGAACTGAATTTGTTCGGTATGTATGAACAAGAAAAACAACTTAGTTGAATTAGGTTATTTGGGTGGCATTATCAAAACACAGGATATGTAGAGAAGGCCATGGGGCTTGGGGCCCAGCATAAAAACACTATTATCAAATATCTGGCCCATTTGCCTTGAGCCCCTTTTAAAGCTGTTTCTATAAACCTGGTGAAGAGCACAGAGTTTTCTACAACAGATGGAGCAATATATTTTCAGGGGACAAATTGAGATGAATGGTTCTTCTTCTCTAAACTGAATGGAAAACATTGAAGTCAAATGCAGCTGTCCTTTCTTGGAAATGTCTCCGCTTTGAGTGTCTGTTAAGAAGAGAAGAGACTTGGATAATGTCAGTGGATAACAACTAGCTCATATCAAAGGTTATTCTGTAGCAATCTGACTACAAGTTGGTTGGCACTTAGTGACTCTGAGGCTACTAATGATTTCTCTAGAAAGTTCTGACCTTATTCTTGTGCCACAGGCCTACTGTTTATGCTATTTTTTATTATGATATGTTGCTTTCTGATAAATTCTGCTATTTGCTGTTCAAAAGTTATTATATTTTGAAGGCTGAGGTACCCATGGATTTGAAATTGGACAGGAAAGCACTCACTTTGCTGAGTGCTTTCATTCATGCTCTCATTTCTTGCTCACGACAGTGTTCTGAGGCAGGGGTATTAACTCTGATTTGAAGATGAGAAAAGAAGGCTCAGAGATGTAACTGACACAACCAAGGATATTCAGCCAGAAAGGTGGAATTCCACCCCTGCCCTCCCTGACTTAGAGCCTGTGTCACTGCTGCCTGTCAGCCACCCTGAGGTAGGACCCTGACATATGGCGAATGTTTTCTATTCCAAAGACAGGCTGGCTCTATGACATTCCTGGTCTGGGAGGAGGGTCAGATACCTGTGATGACCTCCACAGCAAGGGGTCGAGTGCGACGGCCCCTGACCTCGCCGTGCAGGCTGATTGTGTAAGGGGTTCCAGCCCTGAGGCCTGGGATTTCCACAGAGCGCAGGTTGCCAGGAACTGTGAGACTCCGAGCTTCTCCGGCCCGGTCACCCTCCTGGACCTCAACAACAAACTGATCATGGATGCCATCAGGGGCTGTCCAGTCCAGGATGAGGGCATCCCAGCTAACCTTGTTCACTGTGAGGTTTCCCAGATCTGGAACCTCCTCTGCATAAGGATACAAAATGGCCAAGTTACTAAAAAAAAGCAACTGCATGCTGGGATTCAGGTAAGATGGCATTTTGGCTAAGGCTGGGATGAGTTGTCTAGTGAGATGCATGATTTACAGTAGGTATTGAGCATGCTCTGTTGGCACTAAAGCCACAGTTTTTCTATTTGGCCTTTGGGAATGAAAGATAGTCTAGGAATTGTTCACATATTCCATTCTTGATGTAGCAAGGCAGCTTTGGGGAGTCCTTTGGTGTGTTCTTAGAATGAGCTCAGACCAACTATTTTTTTCCACTTGCAAATTGTGCTTTCCAACTTCTTAGATATTCTGACTGAAACTTGTTTTGGAAGAAAAGTCACCTCTCACTCCCTTTTGTAAAGGAAGAATTGGTGGAATTTTCCATGGAATTGGCTACTGTGCTACAACTAGGACTGGCCCAATGAGGGACATGACATTTGGGTGGAAGTGGGGATGGACCACCAATATTCTGCTGCCAAGTCACTAAAAACTTGTGGTAGGGGCTGAAGCCAGTTCAGAGCAGGGAAGAGTTCTGGTCCTTCCTGGGCATAGACAATGAGAGGAAGCTGATTAATGAACTAGTCAGAAATACCTGTTAAGACCTCAACAGAGAGAGGGGTTGTGCTGAAGTCCTGGGTGACCCCGTGGATGGTGATGTTATAACGAGTAGCTGTTTTGAGTCCAGGTAAGTCCACAGACCTCTGCCCTCCTGGGACTGTGAGGTTCTGGACTGCCTCTACTGTGTCAGCCTCCTGCACCTGAATGAAAAACTGTTCATAGGCTCCTGGTGGAGCAGTCCAGTCGAGCCTGAGGGCATCCCAGCCCACCTTGGACACCGTGACCTCTCCCAAATTGGGAGTTTCCCCTGGAGGAGGATAAAGAAGTAGTTTAATGATCAAATCACACATCAAGATCCAGGGAATCCTTAACACAAGAACAGGCTTTATATTACTTTGAAAATATTGACTTTCTTAAGATAAACATGCACACGCAGCTTCCTAAGTTTGAGAACTAGAGCGAAAAGGGTGAATTGTAGGAAAATACTTGTTGCCTGACTTTATTAAGGATTTGTCCTAACCTTCAGTAGACCAGGAGAAAATGACAAAAATTAATTTGTCATTTAGCTTTTCCTTTTAAATATAATGCCTTAAATATCCTTTACCAGGAGGGAGCCTGTTTGGCAAGGTACAGGTGCCTGCCTCTAGGGCTCTGCACAATCCTGAAGGGTGTTGCTGCCGTGGCCTGCAGGGTGAAAGCTTCGCTTGGCATTGTGCAGCCTGATGGCTTCCCATTATTGGACACCATAGTGCTGTAACTTGGGACAGAATAAGTCCATTCAAAAGTGAGCTGTCTGATTATCCTCAGGCAGTTTCCTGTTGGGAGAAAGAGAATCTATAGGCAGAAAGGTAAGAGGTACCTGTGGAGGCGTCAGCAGACAGCACTGGTGTTCTATGGCCCCGGATCACCCCATAGATGGTAACTCTATACGGGGTGGCGGCCTTGAGGCCAGGAACGTGCACGGTCCGCAGGCTGCCGGGCACCGTGAGGTTCTGGGTTGCGTCCACTCTGTTGGCCTCCTGCACCTGAATGACAAAGTGCTCATAGGCTTGGTCAGCTGCGGTCCAGTCGAGTCTGAGGCCATCCCAGCCAGCCTCGGTCACAGAGAGGTTTTCCAGCTCAGGGATGGGGTCTGAATAATGACAGAGATGGGGTCAGTTCAACCATTCCTCAAGTCACTTTCCTCTTGGGAGCCCAGGAAGGGTAACTGGTGGCCCAGGCTGAAAGGCCGTGGGGCCTGAGGCCCATTCTCTCATGGCATCCCTGAGCGGTGCTGTTGCTGTCACAACACCAACAGAAAAGTCCATATAGTACTTATTTTGTCTTGTAGCCTATTTGGGTTTGTCTTTTGGAAATGGTTGACCAGTGTCATACAGATTTGGAAAACTGCACATCTATGCTAGTGAGGCTTTGGGCCTCAGTTCCACTCTGGGAAGCTTGTCCCATTCCTATCGTAAACTGGAGATCAAAGGAGACAGTCCTGGGCTGTTCTCAGGGTTCTTGGTCTGAGCTATCCAGCCTTTGATATTTTTGAGAAAATTGGCTCCCCTTAGATTCCCTGCCTTCTCATGCTCCCTCCATCTCCTCTGGAATGCCTGTTGTATAGTCTCTTTATGTAGGGATTTGTGTCAGTTTCCAGGGCTCAAATCAGTTTACAGAAGCCAATTCAGAAAGATCAGAAATAAATTAACACAGTACAAGTAAGGCTGAGCTGAGGAAGCCAATGGAGTTTTGCAAAGCTGTCCTTTACTGGATAGAGGGAAAGACCGAGGCCCGGGGAGGAAACAGTTCATTAAGCTCTATTCAAATTGAATGTGTCATCTGCATCCATCTCCTCAATACACAAGTACAGTAAAACCTCACTTGTCTGAATATGGTTTCAAGGTGATAATTTGCCCAGGGCTGAGCTTAAATGGACTTTGCATGACCTTGGAAGAAAGGATTTTCTCTGTAAATGGATCCTGTAAATAACAGCGTAAGCACTGCCTTGAACTCGTTTAAAAGAACAAACTGTTTCTCTATTTATGCCTCACATTGACTGCTAGTTTCAAATGAGCCCTATGCGTCCATTAAAGCAGGTTTCTGATTTGAAAATCAGCTTGCAATTGGACTGAAGAAATCCTTTCAGAGGGAAAAATGCGTCTTTTCAAGAATCTATTTAATGCAGACTTTTCCAAGTTCTTCATAAATGTTTCATATTGAGAAAGCTTATATTCCTTCAAATCTCGTTTGATCTACAACAGGCGTCTGTAAACTACAATCTGAGGGGGTCAAATCTGGCCGGCTGCCTCTTTTGGTAATGAGCTTGCTGACAACAGTTTGTACATTTTTAAGTGGTTGGGGAGGAATCCACGGAAGAATACTTCATGCCATATGAAAATACAGATGAAATTCAGATGGTGGTGCCATGAATAAAGTTTTATTTGGACGCAGCCCCGCTTGTTCAGTTATGGGGATGTTGGCTGCTTTCATGCTGCAAAGGCTGAGTGGAGTAGTCCTGGCAGAAACCATGTGTCCTGACAAGTCTAAAATATTTGCTATCTGGCCCTTTCCAGAGAACGTTTGTGATACCTGATCTTGGACTACATTCTATGTACTCCTCATCTGACCCAGTTCATGTCCTGACGCTCACACCCAAAGCCCCATAGCAGTTCTTAACCACACAAATATGGTCTTGATAAGAGAGGACCCAAAACTCAGTGACGCATCCAATTCTGGGGAAAGAAAGAGAGAGGCAGCCATTCTTAAACCACTGGCCCNCATCCTTTGCTTTAGGGAGCTGCCATTCATTCAGATGAAGACTCACCATTACCCTTTCAAGGCGGTGCCTTGAGTAATTCTTGGTATTTTCTTCCTACTTCTGACAAGGGCCAGCCGTTCTTATATTCTGTTAAAATAGTTTGTCCTCTCTTTACTGCTTCTATGTGGGCCAGGAAGGCTAGTACCGCACTGCCAACCAAGAGAGCTGAGCCAAGGTGAGGCAGTCAGGCAACCCTGGCTGGTCAAGAAATAACAGTTCGTCTTAGAGGTGGACCTACCAGGGCTTTTCTGAGCAACAGGAATGAAACATGCAGTTTGCTGGCAGAAGCAGGGTGTGAGAAGCAAGGAAGAAGTAGGCTTTCCCATCCCACCAGGCTTGGTGAGACAGATCAGATGGGACCGTGGCCCTTCCTCCCTTCCTCCCAACTCATCAGAAGCAAGAATCTTACGAGCTGTTATCATTAAAAAGAACACACAGAAATACTAAGGACACCCAGATCACAAGATCTGCAGGGAAGATCAGAAGTGGAGGACAATTTCTGTACCTTCTGGGAAGGGATGGTTTGTGGATATTGGCTAAAGAGCCCCGAGTTCTTCCAGGGCAGCCTCACCTGCAATTTCTAGGCACCTAGGCTCACGGTTCATGCAGCAGCTCGTCTGTGTTACACGTGTATCTCAGTGAGAGTTACTGAAATGATTAAGGTTAAAGTGTACAGCTATGCTTTTGCTGGAATCAACTAGGATATATAGGTTTGAATGAAATTTGGTTGCAATAATTATCTGAAAATGGGAAGGCATATGCAAAACCAAATAACAATGCCTCTACTGAGCTTCACACCCATGGAGGCACATAGGAAGACGAGCAGTGGGCAGCAGTGCTGGGGAAGGCTGCTCACTTTAGCAGCCTCCTGAGGAAATACTGACTGCCTCGTCACTCTCGCGGAGTGATCAGTAAAACATAATGCGCCCTCCTGAGTCTGGGCTGGGAGCGAGCCACGCAAAGGCCACAACTCCAGGAAGAAACTCTTGACTACAAGAACAAAAGGAGCATTCAGAGCTCTGACATTCACAGCCTAGAACATTCCTTGCTTCAAATGCTGCTGTGTGCACTGCTGCTAATGGATGGCTTTTTCTTTGGTCCTGTCTCCAGTCATAACTGTGTGATTTTTTTCTTTTTGGTTTAGCTGTTTGCTAATTTGATGTTCTAATAAAGACTCAGTATCTGAGACAATTGCCCAGAGGAGGGTAATTCAGTTCTCTTATTATACTCGATGCATTTTAAAGAAACATGTAAATTAAGACATTTCTTTTAAATGCAAGAGCCACAGCGCTCATACCCTTGAGGGATTTGGGATGGTAAAGCATCTTTTCCAACTGGCAAAAGGACTCTCTAAAGTAAATAATCTGTGCTTCACCAGAACCCACACGGGGGGAAGGGTTGGCTTTTAGTTATAGCCAAGCACTGGAGAAGAGAATTAAAACCAGCAGGCTGTGTTCTAAACAGATGCCATCATTCAAAAGAGATGCAGTTGTAGGATTGGGCAGTAAAGTGTCAGAGAGGCTGGAGGTCAGAAAAGGCAACATGTGTACATTCGTTCTCAACATGGTAAAGGCACCTGAGCCCGTAGGGAGGTCTCAGCACGCTCACCAGCAGCTAAGGGGCACATGGGAAGAACTTAGCGAGGGAAGCTGACGCCGCGCACAGTCTCTTGGAGAGGAAGCGGGGGACCTTGGCGAGAGGGCACTGACATTGGAGAGGAAGGTACCTGTGGAGGCGTCAGTAGACAGCACTGGTGTTCTATAGCCCCGGATCACCCCATAGATGGTAACTCTATAAGTGGTGGAGGCCTTGAGGCCAGGGACGTGCATGGTCCGCAGGCTGCCAGGCACCGTGAGGTTCTGGGCTGTGTCTACTCTGTTGGCCTCCTGCACCTGAATGACAAAGTGCTCATAGGCTTGGTCAGCTGCAGTCCAGTCGAGTCTGAGGCCATCCCAGCCAGCCTCGGTCACGGCTAAGTCTCCCAGCTGAGGGAGCTCCTCTGAGGAAGGACAGAGAAATGTTTGTCAGTTCTGCAAACCAGGAATGAGGAAACCAAAGGCCCCACAGCCTGGCTCTAGATGAGAGAGAGAGGGTGGGAAGAGAATTCTGTGTGCATGTGTGGTCATGCTTGGTCTCTGGGCATTTCCAGTCTGAACTGCGGGAATTGGGCCACAGCTTTTGTCAAGAGCTGACAATGGTCAGCGTGGAAACATGTGCATTGTTTATCCTTGCGATGGTAATGCCATCTGGGCCATCGCACAACCCCCCAGGAGGTCTCTGAGCGGGCACCGCCAGTGCCTAAAGGGCAATTGGAAAAGGTGGGACTGTGGGTCAGGGTAGGAGAAGGAATGGTTAGAATTACAGGCTTTGGAGGCAGCAGGGCCTTGGTTAGAATTCCAATGCTATTTGTTGGCTGCAAAATCTTGGGCATGTTGCCTAGCACATCTCTGAGCCTCACTCTCCTCATCTTTAAAAGGAGGTGACAGTACCATTCCATTGGATTAAATGTGTGATAATTGAATGATACTATTTATAAGCCTTTGAGGATCAGCACTTAGTGAGTGGCCAACATGTGACAGCCTAACAAACATGTCATTGTTTAGACATTTCCCCTTGGAAATTCTGTCATTTTGGAGAGAATTACCTGCTTCATTTCATTGCTGGACATTGGAGAGATCATCTCATTGCCGGTCACGTGCTATCTGACTGGGTTTATAAAGGGCATGCTGCCTTGGGTCTGGACATGTCTGATATTTTCTCTCTAGATGTCTCTTAACTTTATGGGATCAAAGGTTCTGCACTGAATTCTTGGCTTGGTTCTTGCCCTCCCACCTTGTTATGTTAGTACTTTGTGCCTGAATGAGGAATGGCTGTGTCATGAAGAGCAAGGCCATTTGTGTGAAATGAGCACCCAGTTTTAATTAAAAGTGATTATGCTTTGCTCAGTAAATGGTGCAGAGCACGGCCCACTATTTATTTTTCTACAATGTAGGAAGGAAATCCAATGTAGTTGTTATTGCTGATTTAGCAAGTCTAGATTCCAGATATGGAAAAACCCACTGCTTGGTGGGATGCTTCTCGGGGTTAAATGCAATCTCTCAGACTCTCTTTTTAAGGCTGAGGTGCCCATGGATTTGAAATTGGACAGGAAAATACCTGCAGGGATTTCAGACAAAAAAAGGTGTAAGGTATTTATCCTCAGGGGTCTCAGGATTCAGTGTACCGTGAGAGTCTGCGCAAACTCGACCCTTTTAGAGGGGCTGTATTTAGATCACATTCCATATAGAATCAGTGCTTTTGTGGAAGAACTGCATTGGGGACATGGATGCAGGCAGCCCCCTCCTCCTTCCCAGCTCTCCAAGAACAGCTGTTTTTTCATCTATCAGCTAGTGGGATTCCTTGTAAGGTTTCAGGTGCAAAAGAGGTTCTGCTGCTAAAACAAATTTGCGAACTACAGATAAAGACTGTTAGTGTCCTGCACCAGATCTTTGAGACCTGCACACAGGTCTCAAAGGCCCCATTTGCTCTTGTTTGGTTTGAAGATACTCCAGGAAACACAGGACAATGATAACCTGGCCAGCTTCAGTGGATTGCAACATCGCATTTCTTAGTTTTGGAATTGTGTGTAGTTTCTAGCAGGAACTGAATTTGTTCGGTATGTATGAACAAGAAAAACAACTTAGTTGAATTAGGTTATTTGGGTGGCATTATCAAAACACAGGATATGTAGAGAAGGCCATGGGGCTTGGGGCCCAGCATAAAAACACTATTATCAAATATCTGGCCCATTTGCCTTGAGCCCCTTTTAAAGCTGTTTCTATAAACCTGGTGAAGAGCACAGAGTTTTCTACAACAGATGGAGCAATATATTTTCAGGGGACAAATTGAGATGAATGGTTCTTCTTCTCTAAACTGAATGGAAAACATTGAAGTCAAATGCAGCTGTCCTTTCTTGGAAATGTCTCCGCTTTGAGTGTCTGTTAAGAAGAGAAGAGACTTGGATAATGTCAGTGGATAACAACTAGCTCATATCAAAGGTTATTCTGTAGCAATCTGACTACAAGTTGGTTGGCACTTAGTGACTCTGAGGCTACTAATGATTTCTCTAGAAAGTTCTGACCTTATTCTTGTGCCACAGGCCTACTGTTTATGCTATTTTTTATTATGATATGTTGCTTTCTGATAAATTCTGCTATTTGCTGTTCAAAAGTTATTATATTTTGAAGGCTGAGGTACCCATGGATTTGAAATTGGACAGGAAAGCACTCACTTTGCTGAGTGCTTTCATTCATGCTCTCATTTCTTGCTCACGACAGTGTTCTGAGGCAGGGGTATTAACTCTGATTTGAAGATGAGAAAAGAAGGCTCAGAGATGTAACTGACACAACCAAGGATATTCAGCCAGAAAGGTGGAATTCCACCCCTGCCCTCCCTGACTTAGAGCCTGTGTCGCTGCTGCCTGTCAGCCACCCTGAGGTAGGACCCTGACATATGGCGAATGTTTTCTATTCCAAAGACAGGCTGGCTCTATGACATTCCTGGTCTGGGAGGAGGGTCAGATACCTGTGATGACCTCCACAGCAAGGGGTCGAGTGCGACGGCCCCTGACCTCGCCGTGCAGGCTGATTGTGTAAGGGGTTCCAGCCCTGAGGCCTGGGATTTCCACAGAGCGCAGGTTGCCAGGAACTGTGAGACTCCGAGCTTCTCCGGCCCGGTCACCCTCCTGGACCTCAACAACAAACTGATCATGGATGCCATCAGGGGCTGTCCAGTCCAGGATGAGGGCATCCCAGCTAACCTTGTTCACTGTGAGGTTTCCCAGATCTGGAACCTCCTCTGCATAAGGATACAAAATGGCCAAGTTACTAAAAAAAAGCAACTGCATGCTGGGATTCAGGTAAGATGGCATTTTGGCTAAGGCTGGGATGAGTTGTCTAGTGAGATGCATGATTTACAGTAGGTATTGAGCATGCTCTGTTGGCACTAAAGCCACAGTTTTTCTATTTGGCCTTTGGGAATGAAAGATAGTCTAGGAATTGTTCACATATTCCATTCTTGATGTAGCAAGGCAGCTTTGGGGAGTCCTTTGGTGTGTTCTTAGAATGAGCTCAGACCAACTATTTTTTTCCACTTGCAAATTGTGCTTTCCAACTTCTTAGATATTCTGACTGAAACTTGTTTTGGAAGAAAAGTCACCTCTCACTCCCTTTTGTAAAGGAAGAATTGGTGGAATTTTCCATGGAATTGGCTACTGTGCTACAACTAGGACTGGCCCAATGAGGGACATGACATTTGGGTGGAAGTGGGGATGGACCACCAATATTCTGCTGCCAAGTCACTAAAAACTTGTGGTAGGGGCTGAAGCCAGTTCAGAGCAGGGAAGAGTTCTGGTCCTTCCTGGGCATAGACAATGAGAGGAAGCTGATTAATGAACTAGTCAGAAATACCTGTTAAGACCTCAACAGAGAGAGGGGTTGTGCTGAAGTCCTGGGTGACCCCGTGGATGGTGATGTTATAACGAGTAGCTGTTTTGAGTCCAGGTAAGTCCACAGACCTCTGCCCTCCTGGGACTGTGAGGTTCTGGACTGCCTCTACTGTGTCAGCCTCCTGCACCTGAATGAAAAACTGTTCATAGGCTCCTGGTGGAGCAGTCCAGTCGAGCCTGAGGGCATCCCAGCCCACCTTGGACACCGTGACCTCTCCCAAATTGGGAGTTTCCCCTGGAGGAGGATAAAGAAGTAGTTTAATGATCAAATCACACATCAAGATCCAGGGAATCCTTAACACAAGAACAGGCTTTATATTACTTTGAAAATATTGACTTTCTTAAGATAAACATGCACACGCAGCTTCCTAAGTTTGAGAACTAGAGCGAAAAGGGTGAATTGTAGGAAAATACTTGTTGCCTGACTTTATTAAGGATTTGTCCTAACCTTCAGTAGACCAGGAGAAAATGACAAAAATTAATTTGTCATTTAGCTTTTCCTTTTAAATATAATGCCTTAAATATCCTTTACCAGGAGGGAGCCTGTTTGGCAAGGTACAGGTGCCTGCCTCTAGGGCTCTGCACAATCCTGAAGGGTGTTGCTGCCGTGGCCTGCAGGGTGAAAGCTTCGCTTGGCATTGTGCAGCCTGATGGCTTCCCATTATTGGACACCATAGTGCTGTAACTTGGGACAGAATAAGTCCATTCAAAAGTGAGCTGTCTGATTATCCTCAGGCAGTTTCCTGTTGGGAGAAAGAGAATCTATAGGCAGAAAGGTAAGAGGTACCTGTGGAGGCGTCAGCAGACAGCACTGGTGTTCTATGGCCCCGGATCACCCCATAGATGGTAACTCTATACGGGGTGGCGGCCTTGAGGCCAGGAACGTGCACGGTCCGCAGGCTGCCGGGCACCGTGAGGTTCTGGGTTGCGTCCACTCTGTTGGCCTCCTGCACCTGAATGACAAAGTGCTCATAGGCTTGGTCAGCTGCGGTCCAGTCGAGTCTGAGGCCATCCCAGCCAGCCTCGGTCACAGAGAGGTTTTCCAGCTCAGGGATGGGGTCTGAATAATGACAGAGATGGGGTCAGTTCAACCATTCCTCAAGTCACTTTCCTCTTGGGAGCCCAGGAAGGGTAACTGGTGGCCCAGGCTGAAAGGCCGTGGGGCCTGAGGCCCATTCTCTCATGGCATCCCTGAGCGGTGCTGTTGCTGTCACAACACCAACAGAAAAGTCCATATAGTACTTATTTTGTCTTGTAGCCTATTTGGGTTTGTCTTTTGGAAATGGTTGACCAGTGTCATACAGATTTGGAAAACTGCACATCTATGCTAGTGAGGCTTTGGGCCTCAGTTCCACTCTGGGAAGCTTGTCCCATTCCTATCGTAAACTGGAGATCAAAGGAGACAGTCCTGGGCTGTTCTCAGGGTTCTTGGTCTGAGCTATCCAGCCTTTGATATTTTTGAGAAAATTGGCTCCCCTTAGATTCCCTGCCTTCTCATGCTCCCTCCATCTCCTCTGGAATGCCTGTTGTATAGTCTCTTTATGTAGGGATTTGTGTCAGTTTCCAGGGCTCAAATCAGTTTACAGAAGCCAATTCAGAAAGATCAGAAATAAATTAACACAGTACAAGTAAGGCTGAGCTGAGGAAGCCAATGGAGTTTTGCAAAGCTGTCCTTTACTGGATAGAGGGAAAGACCGAGGCCCGGGGAGGAAACAGTTCATTAAGCTCTATTCAAATTGAATGTGTCATCTGCATCCATCTCCTCAATACACAAGTACAGTAAAACCTCACTTGTCTGAATATGGTTTCAAGGTGATAATTTGCCCAGGGCTGAGCTTAAATGGACTTTGCATGACCTTGGAAGAAAGGATTTTCTCTGTAAATGGATCCTGTAAATAACAGCGTAAGCACTGCCTTGAACTCGTTTAAAAGAACAAACTGTTTCTCTATTTATGCCTCACATTGACTGCTAGTTTCAAATGAGCCCTATGCGTCCATTAAAGCAGGTTTCTGATTTGAAAATCAGCTTGCAATTGGACTGAAGAAATCCTTTCAGAGGGAAAAATGCGTCTTTTCAAGAATCTATTTAATGCAGACTTTTCCAAGTTCTTCATAAATGTTTCATATTGAGAAAGCTTATATTCCTTCAAATCTCGTTTGATCTACAACAGGCGTCTGTAAACTACAATCTGAGGGGGTCAAATCTGGCCGGCTGCCTCTTTTGGTAATGAGCTTGCTGACAACAGTTTGTACATTTTTAAGTGGTTGGGGAGGAATCCACGGAAGAATACTTCATGCCATATGAAAATACAGATGAAATTCAGATGGTGGTGCCATGAATAAAGTTTTATTTGGACGCAGCCCCGCTTGTTCAGTTATGGGGATGTTGGCTGCTTTCATGCTGCAAAGGCTGAGTGGAGTAGTCCTGGCAGAAACCATGTGTCCTGACAGGTCTAAAATATTTGCTATCTGGCCCTTTCCAGAGAACGTTTGTGATACCTGATCTTGGACTACATTCTATGTACTCCTCATCTGACCCAGTTCATGTCCTGACGCTCACACCCAAAGCCCCATAGCAGTTCTTAACCACACAAATATGGTCTTGATAAGAGAGGACCCAAAACTCAGTGACGCATCCAATTCTGGGGAAAGAAAGAGAGAGGCAGCCATTCTTAAACCACTGGCCCTTGTGAGGCCAGGAACAGTGCTCCACACAGAACAATTGTTCCCTTAACCTTTTCAAATATTTTTCAGATGTCCAGCGGCCATCACGTGTAGAGAGAAGCAGGACAAAAACCGATCCGAGCAAGTTGTAAGGGCAAGGAAATGGATCCTACGGCCTGTAACCTCCCCTTCTTATCCCACATTCTTTTTTTCTCCTCCAGCTGTCAAAACTGCTTGTCAGGAAACTTAGCTGACATTGACCATTTGCCCCATTATATGAATCAAGTTCCTGTCTGTCCTCCCCAGGTATTTGCCTTTCAGGCTGTCTCTCTAATTCTGACATAAAATTTTTTTTTTCTCCGTGGAAGAAATTTCAGATACTACATTGCAAGAGATGCAGGGAAAGTTACCTAACCGGGGCAGGAAGGAGGTGATCACAGATTTTCTATTAAGCTGTTGCAGTAAAAATGGATGGAGGGGCTCTCTTGTCCCCTCCTGGTGTGAGCCAGGAGCTCTGTCTTCTCACTGTATCTCTAAATAGAAGCCTGTCCCTGGCTCTTCTAAAAAAAAAAAGGATGGAGAGAGGAGAGGAGGAGACTCAGTGGAAAAGGTCTCTTCCTGTTGAGAACCATCTTTTTTCTCTTTGAATCAGCCTTTTTATGCCATGGATACTATTAAACAAGGCCCCTCACATCCTTCTTCCTCTGTTCTACAGTCAATCGAATAATTTTCATGTGATGTCACGTTGCTCAGAAAATAGTAAAAATCATGGTGATAATACTTCCACCAAAATTTTTGGCTCTTCTTCCACCTTTTTTTTTGATAGACAAATCAGGAAAGAGCATCAGTTTGTACATTTAGTGAGAGCAGTGCTAAGACGGTTTCTGTGATGGGTGTCACTGGTACCCCACAGAATTCCCCCTACTAAACAAATGTTAAGTAAGTAAAAGGTGTAACTTCAATGAATAAAATGAGTAGATAAACTAAAGGGAAGGGGGTAAGAGTTATGAAAAGAGGGGGAATAATGTGAGCAAAAATACAGCAGACAATAGTTGAGGGGGGACCAAGAGGTGTTACATAAATGCAGACTCTATATTTCAACAGCAAGTGACATGCCTGTGGGCTCAGAGCCCCAGAAAGTCCAGTGTTTCCATTGCATAGTTTCACATTGAATTTCTTGGCATTTCTTTATGAAAAGGCTGTTGTCTTTTTCTTCCAGCTGTGCAGTGACATCTACCCTCTGAACAATGTCAGTGGGCCTGGGAAATCAGAATTTTGAAATCCCAATTTTGTGCTTATGGTGGGTTGACCAGCTGGCCTCGAGGAATTTCCAACAGTGTCAACTTTAAATCTTTAGATTTCCACCATCCACCACCTAGTAGATGGTCATTACCATATGTTACCTAATGAGAAATCTTCTAGTGTTCTAAATGAGAACTTCTAGTGTTCAGAGAGTGATACTTCCACAGCAGGTGGATGGCCAAATTCAAGCCTGCCAACCCCAAAGGGTAGATTAAATTAAGATAATTACAATGAAAAGCCTTGCCTGCCTTAAAACTTTTCAGTGACATCACTATCAAGAACGAAGCCCAAGCCCCTTAGCATGACATTCGCTGTTCCCGGAGATGGTCCCTAACCTATGCCCTGCTGTTCTCCGGCTCCATACACAGCAGGGCTGTATAGTTTGTGCTTCACTAATGTAAAGTTTCTCTTGCCTTTGAGCTTTTCACTTGCTGTTCCTCATGCTGGAAATGTCATCAGTCCCTTCGCCACTTGCCCCACTCCCTTTCCTTTGTCAGGACTCAGCCAAGTATCGCCTCTTTCAAAAAGCCTTCTCCGGTACCCTTCATCCCTCTTGCTCAGGTCTGGAATGCGTAGGGATCTCTGTGCTCCTGTGGCTTCCCATGCTTCCCTCTGAAACAGACTAAGTTACATTCTTACAGTTTTGGTGCTGGTTCTCCTCTTCTCATTGCCAAGTACCTCATGTCTTGAGAGGAGGGCTTGCGTCTTTCTGTTCTATATGCCAGCATTCCCTGACCCACAGCAGGTAAGAAATGAGTATTTGTTGGGTGGATAAATATTTGAGTAAATTTCAGTTTGCTCCATGAGAAAATAAAAATGAAACGAGAGCACAATGTTCTCTATTACTTGCAACTGCAGCTAAAACCAAAATTCCACCTTTGTGATTTCCAAACTGACAACAATCACTAGGACATCCCTGTTGCGTCTTATGCTGGTATGAAAGATGCTTTACTGGCCTTGTGTGTCCACATATCCTCCCTTCTTTATGTTCCTTACTGCTCACAGCAAATTCATGGCCTGCATTTTAAGCAAGGTTTTGTTGAGTTTATCAGAACAGAAATGCAGACAAGAGAGAGAGAGACACAGAAAGGCGCAGAAGGACAGGTCTGGCCCGCACTTACTTTCTTCAGTGCTAACAGGGATAGCCCCTCTGTCCCTCTCCCCACCCCCATCTCCCTTCCTTCCTTTTCTCCCTCCCTCCCTTGCAACCTTGCAACCAGCCTCCCCTGCCTTTTTTTTTTTTTTCCTTTCTTTTTTTTCAGAGTAAGCTTAACTGAAGACTGCCAAAGAATGACCTCCCTTCTATTAGTCCTTAAGGGAAAGAATTTGGGTTCTCAATGTAGTGGTGAAAGGAAAGGACTACAGGATTCCATGGAAGTACTGCCTCTGGAGTAGCTGGGGTCACCAAATGCTCATGAAGCCCGTGCCGTATGCTCAGCTGTGTTCAAGTCACTGGGGATGCAGATTTAGATAAAGGGGAGAGTCTTTACAGTTTGGTCATTAATAGGAGGCAGACATGATACATAAACCAACTACTGAATGATATCAAGTTAGACAAGTGTCATGAGGACCTCAGGAGGAACAGGAATGAGTAAATCAGGATGAGGGGGCCATTTCAGATTGGTGGTCAGAGGTGTGACACCACTTGAACTGAATGAAATGAGAGATGTCATGTGAAGAACTGGGACAAGAGTGGTATCTAGGCAGCAGGAATAGCAGGTGCAGAGGCCCTGAGGGAGGAGAGGGCTTGGAACTTAAGGAACAGGAGAAAGCAAGGCTGTCCCACCAAGGGGACAAATGGTAAGAGTGAGGTCAGAGAGAGCAGAGGGCGGGATTCTGTAGGGCCACGAGCCTGTGGGAGGGCCTTTGGATTCTGTGTTCGCTGTGACGGACAGCTAGGTTATGCACAATTTTAATTTGGTGCTACATCAAGAAAAAGGCTTGCAGTCAGGCTCAATTCCATGGCTAGAGCCCTAGAATTCCCTGGGAAAAATGCTCTGGGGCAGCCAATTCCACATCTCCATGAAACCCACAGACAATGAGTGGCCCTCTTCAGACTTCTGCTACGAATCTAATAAGGCAGAACCGGGAGTCCCTTTCTTCACAGATTTGAACCATTTTCCCTGTTTCTTTTCTCTTCTCATGTTTGTCAAGGCCAGGTCTCTGTGCCTCCACTTTACATGCTCCACAACACAGTTCTGTTTGCCTCTTACGTATCTGTCCAAAAGCTTCCTCCCATTTTAAGACTTTCCTGATGTCCAGAAGGCATCCTGGGCTCCTGCTGCACCCTTTATACCCCCCAATTATAGCATATGGGATATTGTGCTGGTATCTGGCAGTCTGTTCACTGGACATGGAATTCCTTGGAAGCACAGTTCTTTCTTAATTGATCTAGTATCCCCAAAACTTAGCACAGAGCTTGGGTGTAGTATATTGTTGATTAAGTAAATGTAGGAGTCTTGGGAAGATAGAACTCAAGAGAAAGAAAGAAAAGTCCACCTCACTTTTAGTAAAATAAAATAATTCTATGGAGAAAGCCAGAGAGAGAAATATTCTGGGGACAATGGGGAAAGAGCCAAAAAAGGATTTTGCACATCTCTCCTGTAATGAAGAATGTCTTTAAATATACAATGAGATTTCTTTTGAACAGTGCTAAGGATGCATGGCTGGGAAAATGAGTGAACTGAGCCCTTGGGATGCCAAAATGCGACCTGTATTGAGAGCAAGGTAATTCCAGCATGTGATTCTTTTGAAAGTTTTAATCTCCCTGAGCTCCTGAGGCCTGGGGCTTCCCCACTGGAGATAGGAGTAAATGTGGCTACAGCCAGAGGGGAAAATGATTGGGTGGAGATAGAAAACTCTCTTTGATACAGCATTTGTCAAATCAGGGGAAAGTAAAGAGAGAAAGAGAAAGAAGAAATTCCTGTCTTTTGTTTTTCTGATTCACTTGTTGTCCCTTGACACCTTATAACAGCTCATGTTTATAAAGCTGGAACATTCAGATCTCTGCCATAGATTTGTTTCTTCCTGCCCCTCCCTTATCTATGATTAAGCTGCCCCTCCTAAGCATCCTTGATGATCATTTTATAGCTCAGTGAAAAGCAGTCCATGCACAGAGTCAACAGAACTGACCACCTGAGTTCACTTAAACTCTCTCAAGAGGCTGCTCTTTGTTTACCAAATAGCCATTCTCTCTCCCTTCCTTACGTACAGCTACAATTTCCTGTGAGGGGCAGCATGCTCAACCAGAAGACTACCTTTATCTTTCCTAGACTTACTTTTAACCAGGGGTGGTCAGTGAAATATGAGTAGGTCATTGGTGAGGTTCCCAGAGAGACTCATCTGGAAGGTACTGCTTTTTGGTTTCATTCTTCCTACTTCATGCTGCTGAACACAGATGTGAAGGCTGTACGGCAGCAGCTATATTGTGACATGGAGGTGTCTCTGAGAATGGAAGCCAAGGACTAAGAATGGTGAAACAGAAAGACAGAAGGAACCTGAGTGCCTGATAATTTGGAACCTCAGAGCCATCCCTGAACTGCCTAACCTTAGATTTATTTTATGAGAGAGGGAACCAAGGTCACTGTTGAGATTTCAGCTGTGTGCAGGTGGAGATGTTCATAAATAACAAAGTCTTTCCAAGGCATTTTTGGATTTGTTCATCATTACAACCCCTGTTTTCCTGCTTATCATGATTCAGCTAGAGTAGTGTCTCTGCCATGATGCTTTCTCTGGTTGCTCCTGAAGCCCCCAATCACTCACTGTCTTTGATTGAGTTCTGTCTAATATTCCAAGTATCTAGTCTTCCCCAAGCAGCATGAGCAGGAGCATCTGAGTCAAAAAAAAAATGCTAAGTACTTGACCTACTTTTTCCTCGAATATCGGCACATGACAATGTATTCAGTAGGTTCTCAATAAATACTTACTAATTAAATTGAAACTAAAGATTATTACTTGTCAGATCCTGAAGAATTAACATTTTTACCTATACCTCTTGAATATTTTGGGGCCAAAGTTATATGTGAATATTTTTCATACAGGAAGAACTGATTTTTTTTTTTTAACTGTCTATTTACTGAGGAAACATGACAGCAGTACAAGAATGGGCGAACTGGGCTAGAAGGGACACTGGAGGTCAGGTTTAATCTGTCACGGAAAAGCAAAGCTCTCTTAATGACTAAGAGACCAGAGAAAATCAGAAGCGTGCTGTGGAAGGCTCAAAGGACCATCTGCAACTTCTTAGGTTACCTTAGAGGAAAACAAAAAACCTGGAAGAAAAACATTTAAGGGGAAATAACCAAAGAATTATTACCAACATCTTGGTGGTCTTGAAAAGAAATAAAATGAAAAGTTAATTTTTCGGCGCAAGAGGGGGTAAAAGCAAGACAATTTAAAAGATTCTATGAAATGCACAAAACTAAAAAAAAAGGAAACCCACAGACAAATATAGACCATGATGCTTTAAGTTCTCCTAGGAAGAAATATTTAAAAAAACACCATGTATTGCCCAGCCAGGGTACTTTGCTGAGCCAGATGGTGAGTGGAAAAGATAAGCAAGTAGCTCTTTCAGAGTGGTATTCAGAGGACTCATGTGTAAGAAAGTTGCATGCATCCCCATCTGGTTTGCTCACATGAAGATAACCTGGTCAATGGGTCTGCAAACCTCAGAATCCACAGAGGGTGTGGAGGGAGCACAGAGGCCGACCTCACCTGTGGTTGCCTTCACACGCGCGGGCTTGCTCTTGTGCCTGCCCTTCTCTGCTGTGAGGAGGATGGTGTATTCCTGCCCCGGCTGCAGGTCTCTCAGCACATAGGAGGTGGTGTCCCTGGGAAGCGGCACCTCCACTGGCTGGCCTGAAGGAAAGCTGTAGTTGAGGCGGTAACGGTCAAACTTGGCCAATGGTGCCCTCCAGAGCAGGGTCAGGTTCGTGTCCGTAGTTTCAGAAACCCGAAGGCCCTTGGGTGCATCTATGTCTGGGAGGAGAACAGAGAGATGGCTACTCCTGAGGCTGTAAGGCAGGGCTGCTCCTGGGACTGAGAGTCCCTTGATTCTGGGCTGCAGAGGGGCTGGGTGGATTTAGGTGACTCACCTAAATCTTGGTTTTCATTTTTGTGAGATGCTGTTATAATTACCTCACTGGATTTTTGGAAGATTAAAAAGAGTATAGTGATATATCTATACCATGAAATGTACTCAATTAAAATCATTTAAAAAGAACTGACTACTGATACAACAATCTTGGATGGATCTCAAGAGAATTATGCTCACTGAAAAAGTCAATCTCTAAAAGTTGCATCCTGTATGATTTCTTGATATAACATTTTTGAAATGACAGAATTATGGCAGTGAAGAACAGACTCAAGATTTCCAAGGATTAGGGAAAGGGGGAGGGAGGGAGGTGCTTGTGGCTCTACCAAAGGATAGGAAGGAGGATTGTAGTGGTGGAAACTTCCTGAGTCTTGACTGTAGTAGTGGATTCAAAACTCTACATGATAAAACTGTTCAGAGGTAAATACACACATATACAAATGAGTGCATGTAAAACTGGGGACATCTGAATAAATTTGATAGCATGTATCTATGTCAGTTTCCTCCATGTGATATTGTGCAGTTACACAGCTGTTACCATTGGCAGAAACTGGGCTCAGGGAATCGTACTATACCATGTCCACAACAGCATGTGAGTTGACAATTACCTTAAAATGAAATGATGAGAAAGAATATGTACGTAAGTTCTCAACATGGGATCCTACATATGAGGAAGATGGAAGACACACAATTTATGTCCTTTTTGTACACCAGCCCCCTTTTCTCCACAGCACCTGGGGGAGGTGAGGAAGTTCGAGGAGATGCAGGGGGAAGAGTTTTCCTTTTTATGTATTTTCCAGAGAAAAAATGTGAGGAAAAAATCAGTGACTTCAGTCATGTGGCCCCTCACCAATCTCACCCAGAAGCTAGAGCTGTAGGACACAATTAAGAGCAACGTCTGCCTTGAACTATGCTCCTGCCACTGACAATCTGTACTCTGAGGGTGTACAATAAAAATTAGGTATTTTCTAGGAGAAACCCCCCCAGATGTGTCTTTGATTAGTCAATGGTTCATTTAAAAAGTGGGATGGGTTACCAGCTTTGAAAGTTTGTAGATTTCTTAATAAAGTCTGGTTCCAATTGTTCCTAAAAAAACTCCCATTTCCCTCCCTGGATGAAGAGAGCAGCATCAGCGTTTGGACGTGGCGTGCTCCGTGGCTTCTGAATTCAACACCTGCACTAGAGGATCCTAGGGGTGCCTTTCCTCTCTGGCTGTGTACTCTTTCTTTTTAAGTAGGTCTTCTGCCTCTGGGCCCCGCCGTGTCTCCTGGTGCCAGCCCTGGGGTGGTGGCAGTTCAGGAGCACCTCACCTGTGGCCACGTTGATGGTGGCTGGGTCACTCTCCTTGTCTCCCTTTACAGCAGACACTCCAATCCCATATTCAGTTCCTGGCCTCAGACCTATGAGAGAATATGCAGGTTGAACTTTAGCTCCAAACCAGAAAGACTGTCTGAGGATCATGAAAGTGGCCCTGAGACCATAATTTCTCTGTGTCTGGAACATTCTACAGACTGACTCACTGAAGTGCAAGTCAGAGGGGTGGCTGGGAGCTGCATTTTTCTTCTCTCTCTGGAGGGCTGCTCAATGGGGACATGTCCTCTGGGGCTGCATGGGTCTGGGATGTGGAACTCACCAGTGAGCGTGGTTTTGGTTGTGGCGTGGGGGCTCCTTGGCACCTCAACCTCAGCGTGGTCCCCTCCGGAGATGGGTGCATACTTGATTCTGTAAGTGTCACCGGCGGCCTTGCCGTTCTTCCATTCCAGGGTGATGCTGGTGTCTGTCTGGGAGACGCGGCGGAGGTTCCTTGGGGCGTCCAGGCCTGCGTGGGAGATGGAGGGACATTTGTGTAGGCAACAACAGGCACCAGGGGAGCAGGAATCTTTGACAATTCCAGCTGAGACGGGAAAGGCGACTGCCATAGGAGAAGCATGACCGAACTGCCCTGACGCCCTTGTTTCATGACAAGGTCAGAAGCTGGTGAACAAATCTAAACAAAGACTATGTATCTGGCACCTTTCTCAAATGTTCATGTGTGTGATACTTTAGTCATGTTTGCCTCAGATGTTGTGCTTAGAAAACCATACTATAGATAGTAAAAAGAAACAACTATATAATCTTTGTGAGTTGAAGAACTGGTCTGTTGTTCATCACGGTATTTCTCGTAACTCATAGGGTGCTTACTGAGCTCTGAAAAAATATTTATTGAGTGAATGACTAACTGTTTGGTGCTTCTAAAAGAACACCACAGGCGAAGAGGAAGGATACAACTTTGTAATTCATGTTTTCCATGTCCTGTATATTATTATTAAAATTTTTGAGTTTTATTTTAATCAAAACTTTTGTCTGAGAGACTAGCACTTTCTATGTATGCAAATACATTTACATATGTTTTGCTTTGGAAGGTTATTTAGTGTGTATTTTTTCTTTGAAAAATTAATCAACTGCTACAATATTTTAAAATAAAATTTTAAGGAATGAAAACTCCCTTTCATTTTCCTACTGTAAAAGGAGCTGGAAGACACCCCAACATGGAGTGGGGTAAAAGTCTTGCATTCTTTTCTTTCCTGGTGCTGTTAATAGGGGAAGGCCCATTACCTGTTGTGAAGGTCTCTTTGGCCGGATTGCTGGACATGTCAGCCCTGCGGGAGATGAGGGACACCTCGTACTCAGTGTCTGGCTTCAGGCTCCCGATGGAGTATTGGCTCTCATCGTGTGTGAGATCAATGGTGGTCCGGTCGCCTGGCACATCTTTGATCCCATAGGAGAGCTCGATGCCGTCGATCTCAGCCAATGGCTTGGACCAGGTGACCAGAGCAGTGGTGTCCGTGACATCTTTCACCTCTATCTGGCTGGGGGCATCCAGGCCTGGGATGGGCAGAGGACAGAGTGGTGTGAGAGTTTGTGGCCAGTGCCAGGGGCTGAGCAGAGAGAGGGTTTGCAGCCTCCAGATCCATTTGTGTACCTGTAGGCATATACTGACCACTTGACTGTATTTTAGCCTTCTGAGCTTCATTTTCCTGTTCAACAAGCCATAAGTAAGGATGATGACAGCTCCCTTACAGGGTTTGTTGTCTTTTCAAATAGTGAAGGAGGTAATGCTTGCAAAGCATCAAGCACAGAGCAAGAACACAGAGTTACATGACAAATGGACATTACTCTGTTATTATTATCATTGCTGTTCTCATAAATTGAAGAAACATGCTTAGGGGCTACTTCATTTAAAAGACATCGATGTAGTCCCTCTGGTTTTTTACTTAGGCAATACTCCCTGGATGGTCAATAACTTCTCCATTAGAATTCTGCTGCTGAATGTGAACAATGACAGTAGCATATGGAAGTGAGTTTGATGAAAAGAATTCAGGCAGGAAAGTCATGGCTATCTCAAGGCTTGCTTGTCTTTGTGTCCTCCTCTCAGGCTTCCTCCTGCCCCGTCATTCCCCTCCTGCCCCATCCACCCTTGTGTTACGTGCTTTGCCAGCAGGCTGCTCAGGGCTCTGAGAGCACATCCTACTGTTTCTTACCTCCTAGCTTCTCCACTGGCTGTTCCTTTGTTTCTTCTTGCTGAGATTGCTCCCCACCCCCTGCCTTCTAAAATTTTCCTACTCATCCCTCAAAATCTCACTTATATGTCACTTCCCAACTGAAGTCTTCTTTGACCCTGTTGCAATCAGGTAAACACACATTCCCTTCTGTATGGGTGTGAAGTTTCTGTTATGCAAGATGTTTAAGTTCTGGAGATCTGCCGTACAACACCGTGCCTACAGTTAACAATACTGTATTGTACACTTGAAAACCTAAGAGGGGAGATTTCATGTTGAGTGCTTTTACCACAGTTAAAAATTTGAACATCCTACTATTTTACTTTTCACATTGTTCTGTAGCACACATTTTTCCTACAGTTTATTCAAACTAATTTTCAATTTAGATAGGGTCATTCATTCATTTAGAGAGTGAATCTTTGAACTCTTGAAGTCCTTGGCATAGCATAAGGTTTTGTTATTTATATCTCAACTCTTTTCTTTTTTCTAATTATGTAAATAATTTCAACACAAGCATTAAACATACCGGGCACTTAGTAAGTGCCTCAAGTTAAGCTGTGAAGGCATCTAGCCAATGTTTCTTTCTTTCTTTGTTTTTAAAAATAGTAAGTTTCTGTTTTCAGCATTGATTGAGGGAACCGGATGAGATGAAAGGAACTTAACTTTATACAACGAATGAGGAGGAAGATGAATTCGTGGCTAATTATGAGCCTCCTACAAAGTCTATGTTTTGAATTTTAGGTGTTGGTACATCAGTCTCAGCTTGCGGACAATGGACCCATAAAATGTGCAATGGAAATGGCGCTGTTGAACAGTGAGGCCACCTGTCCTGTGTTCTTACAGGTGTGAGCAAGCACCCCTACCGTATCTACTGCCTTCCTCATCAGCCCTTCCATTAAAGAACCTGGGATTCCGTGATTAGAGAAGAGGAACGGTGCCTTTGGCTTCCCATGTGCCAAGCACAGCCCTTTTGTCATTTATGTCTTAACTGTCATGACAACCCCATAGGGAGGATACTATAAACCATTTTCCGGATGGTGGATCAGAGGCTTAAGGAAGTGGACTTGCTCCAGGTGATGGTGAGTGGTGAAGCTGGAATTCAGACTCAGGACTGTTTGGGTCCAAAGCCCAGGCTCTTTCTCCTGTAAATGAGGATGCTTCTCAAAACCATTCATATGCCAGAAATGACTGTAATACAACCTGTAAATGGAGAGCCAAAAAGGTTCTGGCACCAAAACTTTAAGGTCCTTTAAACCTGGAAAAAGCTCAGGTATCAGCCAAATGAACAGGTAAGTATCTACCTCTCGATGTTGATATTTATGTGCTTTTGTAAATGTTGGGATGTTTGTCCTGCAATAAGAAGAAAATAAAGCAGCCAATCCCAAAATTTGGATTAAAAAGGAAGGGCAGATAAAATAATGTCTATTGCAGTTTCAGTGAGCCTTCTCTATAGCAACTAAGCATTTGCTTTATCTGTTCTTTGCCTTTCTGATGATCTAAGGATTTTTTTCCTGTTGGTACCTGTCTTCTACCTACCACAGAGGGATGTTGTCTGGATGATGGAAAACACTTATAAAAGAGACAATCCTATGAATTGGCTCTGAGCTAGGCAAAATGTGCAAATATTTAAATACAAGATGTTCTGCCTTTCATGTCAACAGATTTAACTGTCCAATAACCCCTGCCAAGAAGAGTTAATTCCTTAAAGAGTTGGCTCATATGCTAACTTGAAGAAGATAGAGAGGCTTTCATAAATGGCAAGCAAAATATTTTTATTTGTTTACTTGCTTTAAAAAAATTTGCTTCCTGATAGAACAACTCCAAATTCAGACTTTTTCTCCCACCAAATGATCTAGCAGTGCCAAATCCTATTCTACCCCTAAGAAGTTCTCACATCTTTAGTACTAGTGATATTTTACTTCGGTTTCTGTGGAAGACATGGAATCACCTTTCCACAGAAACCAGGGCCTAGTCAGTGCTACCAGTACGGGGGCTCAAGTTACAAAACCAGATGCTGGCTTAAAACTGTGACTCTGGTTGTATTCACCACATGGTGTTCACCAAATTGATTTAGATTCTCTAAGCCTCAGTTTCTACTCTTGAAAAATAATAACATTAATATTTACCCTACTTCTTTCACAGGACAGGTATAGTATTAAATTAGATGATGTGGTAGATTATTTGCAATGGTCTCATGCATTTATCTGCCTATATCTGTGTCCCTTTGAAATGTCACTTTGAAGCTCCTCTCAAGAGATGGACCCGTTTCCTCTCCCCTTAAATCTGGACTGGCCTTGTGCTTTGCTTTGACAGGAGCAATATGGTGCCAGTCCTGAGTCAGCTCAGCTGCCATGTGAGAGTCCCAGGTGAACATCCTAGAGGTTGAGAGACCATGTGCAGCAGAGAGACACCATCCTGGCTGAGGCCCCCCTCGGTTAGCTGGCCCTCAGCCCACACAGAGGCGTCAGTGAGCCCAGTCAAGGACAGAAGAATTGCCCAGCTGAGGCCAACCCCAGGTCACCAGTGTGCACAATTATTGTCTTAAACCAGTAAGTTTGGACTTGCTTTTTATATAGCAAAAGCTCATGGATACAGATGGTATATAAGAGGTAATATTATCAACCAGAATACGATCGGCTTTAGCATTGTGTCAGTGGTAGGAAAGGTGATACTCACGGGTGGTTGTTACCCTTTTCAGACCTGGGCCCCGGGTATTGTTTTTCACGATGTGCAGAGATATCTCGTACTCCTGCCCCGGGGCAAGGCCAGTTTGCCGGTAGGTGGTCTCTGGCCTCCGCAGGCTTTTGGTGATCTCTCCCTCATCTTCTTTATTCTGCAGGATAGGAGCACCTTGGTGAGACCTAAAGGAGGTTCCAGCCTCTTCATTTATGTGATTCATTCATTCTACATTCATTCCCTCCTCTTTCATATTTTTAGGAAGTCACTGAGCACTCACCGGGCATCAGATCAGTATGGTGGGCGCTAAGGATACAGAGATGCTAAGGATATTTCTCAAGTTCGTTTCTCTCTCTTATAAGCCTTTCTCTTCACTCCTTTGACACTCAACTCAAGTGATAGAATGGAGAGCTGAAGCGATTCTGGAGCCACTAACTCAATCCCTCCTTTGATGGACTAAGAAGCCAGCATCACAGACATCAGGTGGTTGTCCCCACAACTAGTTCATGGGTAGAGGCTGGGCTTAAATTCAGGAACCCACTTCCCTGCCTCACATCTTCTTTTAGGCCCAGAGAGAGGGGATACTCAATCTCAGACATGCCTAGAAGTATTCTGAGACTGAGACCATTCATTCTCTACTTTGCTTCTGAGAAGAGATTTGCAAGATTACAGGGAACATTCAGGACTCAGAGATGACTTAACATGTATTTGTCTAAGATCTTAGCCCTAAGTGCTATGCTTATTGATTTATAACAATCACTTAAAATACATATGCAAACACACAGGGGCTAATCAGGCTTTGTCCCCCACCAAAAGCGAAGATAAGAAAGTAAATACAAAAGTCTATAGAGCCCTGTGACCATCTTTCAGATCCCTGCACGGAAATAAGCCTGCTCCTTACCATATTCCGGAAGATAATCTCCCACGTTTCAAAAGCAATGTCCAGAGGATCCCACTCCACTTCCACAGATGTCTCCTTGATGGACTTGAATTTTAGGCCTTCAGGTGCTGGCAAGTCTATCAGGAAGAACAAGAGAGGAGGGAAGGATGGCTGCGTGTGTGCTGGGCTGACATAGCCACGACTCCACTAAACCCCAACGGTGGGTACGTGACCCCATCCCAGCTGGAGTCTATTTAAGCGTTCTTCCAGGATGCTCTCTACTGTGAGGTTGTATGAAAATTAATTTTAGGACCAACCATATGCTTTAATGTTGGCAATTTCACCTGTGGTTAAACCTATTATGTACTCAAGGTTTGGAATCAAACAGACTTGGGCTAGAATGTAAGCTCCACTGTTACAGTTTTGTAGTTTTGTGTGCTTGGGCAGACTGCACAAAATGTCCCACACCTCAGAATCTGTATTCAGGAGAAGGAGGTAAGTAAGCCTGCCTTCGGGAATGTTTTGAGGACTGAATGATATATTCCACAGAATGTTGGGTATGACTCCTGGCATGTAGCACAAGTTTAATACATGGCAGCCAATGTTATTATTACTAAGCAAAAAGGACCAGTTTTGACCAACAACTTGCTTTTTAGGTAGAAAGGTGGTTTTAATGTTATTGGACTCCTAGAGGAGTAACTTAAGCCTTAATATTTCCACTTTTTTAAAAAAAACAGTGTAGAAAGAGAGAGAGCTCCATAGAAAGGTAGTGATAGAACAGAGTCATTAAGAGCATAAATCTGCAAGACTGCCGGGGCTTAAATCCTGTCTCCATCACTTACTGACTGTGTAATTTGGGGTGAGATGCTCAAACTCAGCCTGAGTTTCCTCATCTGTGAAATGGGTTAACAATAGCTCCTACCTCAACAGTTATTGTGAGTTACATGAGTTAATATATGAAAAGTTTCTTTAAAAATATACTCAGTGGGCTTCTAGAGATTAGATTCTAGTGTCTTAACTGGTGGGGCTCTGCAAGGACAGCTAAGAGATATGGGGCACAGATGCAGCGGTAACTCATGGTGGTGGGCCCTGCCCTGGGCAAGTGGAGGGCAGCTGAGGCCGCGCACTCACAAGTGGCCACCCTGGCGCTGACGGGGATGCTCTTCTTGTTCTCCAGGATGGCGAACACGCGGATGAAGTACTCCACGCCGGGCTCCAGCTCCCGGATGGTGGTGGACGTCTGGTCCCCAGGGACACGGAACTGCATCTCCAGGCCATCCTCGTGGGTGGGTGTGTATATGACGAGGTACTCGGTGACCCGCATCTCATTGTCCCAGGCCAGGTTTACGGTCTCTTCTGTCACTTCGGTCACGATGAGTTCTTTGGGAGGGGACACTGGCAGGAATAAGAAAGGACAGCGTGGGTCAGATAGTGTCGGTAAGGCACTCTATACTCTAAATTAGAATGTTTGTTGAACAAACATTCACTTGTTCCCCTTGACCTGTCTCTTCTACTGCCAGTCTCAGAGGCCTGAAATCCAGCTTCATTTTCTAAAATGCAGAACTCATCAAGGACTCCCTGTTATGACCCATCTTTAAAGACTTTGGTGGCCTTGAGGCTAAAGTTCCAGGGCTGCCGTGAGGCCTTCACGGTTCTCTGTGACCTGGTTGCTCTGACTTCTCCACTCCCTGGGCCTTAGTTCAGATTCAGGCCATTTGTATGGGAAAGTGCAGCCTGAGCCTGGCTCCCTGCTCTGAACTTCAAGTCATACACCCTTAGCGCTGGAAGGGTTTAGGCTTATGTGGCCCAACTCCCACTTTCCAGATGTGAGCGAGGCACAGGGACTTGCCTAACATTGCTTATTTCATCAAATCTGGGACTCACATCTCCTCCCTGCCAGCCTGGTGTTCTTTCCAACCAGGCTTCCCTGCTTTGGCTGTGTTAAACACAGAACCATCCATCTATTCTTTCTCTCCCAATACCTTTAGCCAGGGGGCAGACATTCTCCATTATGACAAGTCTAAAATGGGTGGATGGGAGAATTACGAAGAAGATCCTCATTAAACATGAACATTATTGTTCTTTGCTGTGTTTTCACTCCATGTTTACTGAGTGCTTACTGTATACCGTGGCTTGTGCTGTTAGGATGCTGCTCCTCTAAAGAGCTTGCACTCCTGGGGATCAAAGACAGTAATGAAGATGATTCAAGAGAGGGGTCTGTGGGGGTCTGTGTCACAGGTGATTATCATTCAGTTTTCGTGGAGTGTGCATTTGAAAATTTGTTTTATGTAACCTTACTGTCCACTCAATTTAGGTGAATTTTTACTTCCATCCAAATAGAGGGATTTAGTTTATTACCAGGTCTCAGGGGAGTAGGAAGGAAGGTAGATGTTTAGCAAAAGGAAGGCCATCATTTCATCTACTTCAACTTAGGCACTGGGTGTTAAACTCAGTGTAGACCAGTTAGGCAGACTCAAACACCAGCTCTGTGATGTATTAGCTGTGTGACCTTGGGACAATCTCATAACCTCTCTGAGCCACTGAGCCTTCAAGTAGGTAACCCTGTAACAGGTATATGACCAGGGCCTCTTCAAAGAATCAGTGTGCATGCATGTGTTTTTAATATGACACAAAGTATTGGAGAACTGTGTGCATGATATCATGGCTGTGATCAGCCCCCTGGGGCACTGGTACCTACCCTCAGAGCAGTCTTCCCCGGTGTGGCCCTCACTGCAAATGCAGCGGCCAGTGACGCACTGCCCCCAGTTACTGCAGTCATTGGGGCAGGAGCGCTGCCCGCAGTCTGGGCCAGTGAAGCCCTCGTGACAGATACACTGGCCGTCCTCACAGCGGCCCTGGCCGTGACAGTCGCTGGGGCACCTTCTTTCCTTGCAGTCTTTGCCCATGAAGCCATCATGGCACACGCACTGGCCATCCATGCAGCGGCCCTGGCCGTGGCAGTCACTGGGACAGGAGAGCTCTGAACAGTCGGGGCCGGTGAAGCCATCCTCACACATGCACTGCCCATCCACACAGCGGCCCCGGCTGCTGCAATCCCTAGGGCATCGCCGGTCCCGGCAGTCTTCACCCGTGTAGCCGTCGTCACAGACGCACATGCCATTCACGCAGCGGCCATGCTGGTGGCAGTCACTGGGGCAGCTCATGTCGCTGCAGTCATAGCCCTGGAAACCTTGCTCACACACACACCTGCCCTGCACACAGCGGCCCCGGCTGTTACAGTCGTTGGGGCACCGCAGCTGGCTGCAGTCCTCCCCGGTGTGGCCCTCGTCACACACACACTGCCCATTCATGCAGTGGCCGTGGCCACTGCAGCCATTGGGACACTGGAGCTCACTGCAGTCGGCTCCCGTGAAGCCATCATCACACTCACACTGCCCGTCAGTGCAGTGACCGCGGTGGTGACAATCAGCAGGACACCTCTTCTCACTGCAGTCCGCGCCGGCGAAGCCCTCGTTGCACACGCACTGGCCCACCTGGCACCGGCCCTGGCCACTGCAGGCATTCGGGCAGGTGAGCTGGCTGCAGTCCTCGCCTGTGAAGCCTTCCTCGCAGAAGCAGGAGCCGTTGACGCAGCGGCCACGGTCAAAACAGTCGTTGAGGCAGATGAGCTCGCTGCAGTCTTCGCCAGTGAAGCCCTCGTCGCACACACACTCATTCTCCACGCACCGCCCACGGTTGTGGCAGTTGTTGAGGCACAGGGGCTCACGGCAGTCGTCACCTGCGAAGCCATCGTGGCACACGCACCGGCCATCCACACACCGGCCGTGCTCCTCGCTGCAGGGCACCGGGCAGACCTCCTGGCTGCAGTCAGCCCCTGCGTAACCTTCGAAACACACGCAGACCCCTTCCAGGCACTTGCCCTGGTCACTACAGTCACTGGGGCAGGCCAGCTGGCTGCAGTCATCCCCAGAGAAGCCCTCATCACAGATGCACTGTCCAGCGAGGCACTGGCCTCGCAGGTGACAGTTGCCTGGACATTCAGGCTCAGAGCAGTTGGGGCCTTTCCAGCCAGGTTCACAAACACAGCCACATCCTTCTGTGCTAAAGTTGCCACGGCCACTGCAGAAGGGCCTGGTGTCCAGGCGACCTGCAATGGAAAGAACAAAGGCTCTCAGTTGCGCACAAGCAGACCAGCTTCTTGGTTCTATTTGCAAAAACTAGATCCAGTCAGTCAGAGCAAGGATGTACTCTCAGGCCTTATCTAGCTTGGAGACCATTTGCCTAGTGTGTGGAATCATATGGGACGCAAAATGAATTCGTGCAAGTAGGAATTCTTAACCTGTGCTCTCCGAAATTGTAGACTCATATGCCAAGATTGTGTGTTCATGTGTGTAGTTGTGTGTGTGTGCATGTTTGTGTTTCCACCCCCAGGGAAAGGATCCACAGTTTTCACCAAATTTTCAAGTATTCCCATGACCCTGATGATTACGAATGACCACTTATGAAATGCATTATGATGTTCTTTCTCCTGTTACCTAGTCAAGGTCAGGCACATAAGGGAGTAACTATTTCACAAGGAGTAGCTGTTGAACTGAACTCAGTTCTGACTCTTTGGTTTAACAGCTGTGCTACATTTGGGAATTCAACCACTTTCTGGAGCTCAGTTTCATTTGATCCAATAGCCTACTTCCCTGGGTATATCAGAGTTAAATGAGGACATGAAGAATCTACTGTTGTTTTCTTGAAAAGTGTTTTGGGTTGACTCAAGTTGGTATGTCAGTTTATGTGACCAAAACTTTCTACTTTTTCGTAATTGAAATGAGGCGACTAAGGAGTGGCTTTCTAACTCTGTCAGGACAAACTTCAATTTAACTTCATTCTCATACAATTCCTGTGCCTCTATCTTTTTTCTTTTTTCCTATCTTGAAGGCTGTAGGGGTGGGTGACACTGAGAAACATGGTCAGTGCTGACACGACTCCAGCTCTTTGAAGTCTATGTAATATCTTGGCTCAACTTGCAGGAGTAACTGGTGTGGTCTCCCTGGAGAGGGACAAAGCTCACTCCATTCTCTCTGTATCTGAATACAGTTGTATTAACATAGTTTATCTCCTTCCTGACAGCAAGAGGGAAGACAATATTAAAAAAAAGTTGGTTTGAAAAGTTAGAATGTAAATCTATGCTGTTGAATATGATACCACTGGACACAATTGAATTGTCCCTAGTTTGAAGTGAGATGTGCTGTAAGTGCAAAATACACCCTGGATCTCAAAGACTTCGTCTAAAAGAAAAGAATCTAAAATATCTATTAGTAATTTTTGTGTTGATTCCAGGCTGAAAAATGGATAATTTGGTTATATTGGGTTAAATAAAGTAGGTGATTTAAATTATTTTTACCACTTTCTCTTTCATTTTTTTAATGTGACTATTCGATAAGACTACAAGTATGGTACACTTTCTCTATTGGACAGCATTACACTAAACAATTATCTCCACCCCTTCTTTAGCATTAATGCTAGTGTAACTCCTATCTGCATTCTGCCAGAGAGCTGACAGAGTGAAAGATTAACTGATTTGTACATAAAAAGACTTTTTTTTTTGCCTCAGAAACCCAGAGCATGTCCTAAAGTACTCTCCCCTTATGCTGATTAGGTCTATTCTTGAAATAATTTGTTGAAGTAATTTCTGGTAATTTTTTTCTGAGTGCCAGAAATAGTGATTTTCATCTTTGTTTTGAAGCTACTGAAAACTCCTGTGGCTCTATCAGCTTTAGGAAATGGAAATGAGGACATAATTCCAAAGTTGCAAAATTCCTAAGAAAAGAATACTCCTGGAGACAGGGGATCACTGGGAGAGTGTGAGTTCTGGAGACACACAGGCACATTCAAAGCACCCATCTCTCGTCGCCCTTTGTGTCATTTTTGTGCCAACTGGTTAACTTCTTTGGGTCTGAGTTCTCAGATCTGCGCAATGGGAGTGTTCAACCTTATTTCGAAGGGTTGATGGGAGGATCAAATGAGATAATGAATTACAGTGCCTGCTATGTAAAGGGGGCTCAATCTGATCATCAGCATCATTGGCATTAAACTGGAATATTTTTCCCAATTCCCACAGCCTTTGTACCACCACAGGCAGTGCCAGACCTTCGTAAGAACACTAGAGTGTGGAATACTGTGGTTTAAGTCCTCTATCAGCCACTTAGGGCAGGACCTTGAAGAATCTTATCCTCCTTTGGACTTGAGTGCCCCTATTTGTACAGTGAGGTGATGGGGGTATATCACATATCAGGATCTTTCAGAGAGTCATCTTTGGAATTTCATTATATGTTCACAGGCTTTGGGGTTGAGAATGGTCAAGTAAATTTTAGAAAATTGTAATTAAAGTGCAACAGGGTTTTTCAGAGCCAGACTTCTCAGAGGCCTCTGAAAATTCCTCTGAAAAATATTTGTCACTAAGACTCTCCAAGAGCAGAGATGGTTACGTTCTTCTCGTTTATTTGACCATAAAACCTCCTTTTAATGCACAACTTTTTAAAAAAAGTGAGGCTAGTTCTGCAGGGAACCCACTTTGGAAACAGCTGATGGACCCTGCCAGGCTCATCATTTCTCCCATTTGCACAGGGAGGGGCTGGGCCCGCCACCAGCTTGTACCTTCAGCAGGTTGGAGACAGCAGCCTGCTCCTGCCATGCATTGCTCCCGCAGGGACGACACCAGGTTCTCCAGCTCCTCCAGCCTGTGCAGAAGCTCCTTGACGTCCGGAGCCGGGGCACAGCCACAGGCCCGGCGGGGGATGTTGATGCGGTGCGTGAAGACGATCTGGTTTTCCCCATCTACGGTGTGCTCCTGGAAGCTCTCGCTGGGCTCTGACGCTGGAGCCAAGTCCTTCTCCCCACTGGCTGATTCCAGGTCCACCGAGCACTGGGACCCTACAGGCAGCTTGATGTTGTAGACGTGGTTGAACACCACTGGCTGGTTTTCCTCTGGCAGGGTGACATTCACCTGACTCTGTCGCTTGTGCCGGATGACTTTCTTGAGGACCCCCCCTTCTGTAGGGAGAGCGAGCAAAGCTAGGAAGATGCCCGCCAACAGCGGAGTCACGGCCCCCATGGTGGAGGCAGGTTTGGCTGAATGTTTCTGGGGTTCTGTGGTCCTAGGATGTCTCACTCTCAAGCAGAATTGGGGATCTGGAAGCACAGGATAGACTCCAAATAGTTGTCCCTGAACTTGAAAGACTTCTCTTCTATGAGTAAACAATGGAAAAGAACAAGCTTGTTAGTCTCTACTGCTAATTGAAACTACTAAATCTCTGCAATTCCAAGGGAATTTTGATTTTATATCTCCTGTGTTTGAAGCTTTTCTGATGTTCCTTTAGTATGCACTGTAGTGTTAAACATAAAATGGTCTCTAATAAAATAATTTTGCCATCTTAAAGGGATGATTTCACTCACTAGTCAACTTCTGAAAATATGGGGAGACAGCAGGGTCTAGAGGAAAGGGTAAAACTCTGGAATCAGACAGACCAGATGGGGGTTTGGCTCTCAGCTCCAGCTCTGGGCCTTTGAGGAAGTCATATCACTTTCCTTTGTGATTTCACTTTTTGTACAATGAAGATTGCAGTGGCTAATTACATTCACATAATGGTGTATGTAAAAGCATTAAGTAGACATCACCCATATAATCATGAGATTATTGGTCACAGTGATACAAAGGCCATGGCTCCTGCAGAACTTCAGTAACTCCCCCCTCTTATTATTCGTCCTCCAATCCAAGGTTAACACCATCTGCTGGTTCTCCTCTGCTAGGGGAAGCAGAGATTAAAATGAAGGATTCCAGAGAGCAAACTGAGTTTTAATTCCAGCTGAGCTTCGTACTATTGTGTGTGTTGGAATAGTATCCTACCTCTTTGAACCTCAGTTTCTCTTCTCCTTGATTTATTTCTAAAACCTTGAAAAGTCAAGTTTTTAGAAGAGTCTGCCCGAATGTTCCTGAACCACTTGTCCAAACTATGATCCAGGGCAAAGGATGACTCAGAAAGAATGTCTTCTCCAATCAACAAGTACTTAACATTGTTCTTCCTGAATGCTGTGGACTGAATCATGTCCTCTCTCCTCTGCCAAATTCATGTGGTGAAGCCCTAACCTGAAATTTGGAGATATGGCCTTTAGGGTAGTGATTAGGTTTGAATGAGGTCATAAGGGTGGGGCCCTAATCTGTTAGTATTGATGGCCTTAAGAGAAGAGGAAGAGACACCAGATCTCTCTCTCTCTCTCTCATACAGAGGAAAGATCATGTGAGGACATGGTGAGAAGGCAGCCATCTGTAATCCAGGAAGAGAGGACTCAATAGAACTGACTTTCCCAGCACCTTGATCTGGGATGTCTAAGCCTCAACAACATATGAGAAAATAAATTATTGCTGTTGAAGCCACCTAGTCTGTGGCATTTCATTATGGCGGTCCAAGCAAATTAATACACCAAGTTTTCCACCAAGATCAGAATTCTGTGGATGAAAGGAAATAAATGTAAGACCAAGTGCCTACCTTCAGAGGACTTAACAGTAGAATTAAGAAGAAAATGGGATCGTCCAGCCAATCCTTAAGGAGCAAAGCGGGAGAATGCAAATTATTTATTTTGTGGTATTTATATTTGTGGATTATAACTGCTTTTGGAGTTTGAGAAAAACAAAAGAATTTTCAAAATATTGGTACTGCATGGCTTGTTGCAAAGGATGGCCCTTGCGAGTGAAAAGGACTAGGTTCAGAGTATGGAGGAGAACATGCCATTGTGAGGCAGTTCCTCCTTTGCCAAGTTGTCTTATGCCTCTGTCTTGTGGCTGTTTACCTGTTTGGGCAATCAGGTAAGCAGAGGAAAGGGGAACTGTCAAAGGCAGTTGAGAAATTACTGAGTAAATATAGGAAGACATGGTTAAACTTTAGGTTGTTATAATATTGACTAAAACATGCCTGGTATGCATGTGAGAATGATCTATACAGGGTATGAAATGATTCACAGTCCTCTGTAATTAGGAAATACATGTGAATGTAATTTGTGAAAACAGTTGAGATCAGTCCTTTCACAAACACACGTTTTCCCATGCCAATGCTATTCTTACACTTGCGCATTCTAAGTTGACTATTTATTCAATTAGATGCAGTATTTGGATTGCTTATCTCGTAAGAGGTTTCCTAACTTCTTTTTCCAGGAAGCTCTTATCCCAATGATAGAATTCATTAACATGATCCCAAATGATTGCCTCCTTCATGAAGACAGAGAGTGCGAAATCTGGAGGGATTGTGGCAGGGAAAACTGACCTGACAAGCATGTCTATAGGACTGAGCATGGGTCTGGGGACCTAGAAAGCACCCACTATGCATTTAATCAAGAACTTTCTATCCATACTCCCACCACATCTAATTATAGCCATAGTTGATATTTTAGCAACTACATACATATAACGTCTACTTAGGACATCTACTCCATGGTTAGGCAGGACACAAAACAAAACTAAAGCTAAAATAAAAAAATTCTTTTGAGTATGCTTTCTCATTCAGATTGGTTTCCTAAATAGGGATTTGTGGATCTGTGACATAGACAAGCCTAGTGAATGAAAATTATCATGAAGACGAGAACCTGCCAAGTTCTCTTTCAAACCAGCATAGCCCATCTTATTTGTTTACTGGACAAATATTTATTGATTGCACACCCACTGCAATTTCTTTAACTCTCTTTGCCTTCCACAAAGTCCCTCCTTCCCGCCCTCTTCCCATCAATTCTTAGTTTTTTTTTTGTTTTTGTTCTTTTTATGAGGAAGGGCCATGGGCCAAGCTTGAAATACTTTTGGACTTTTATCCAACACTTCTGTGTGTGTTGCTAAATGACTTAAATTTCCATCTGAAAGGCCACTGGAGTTGCTGGTTGAGACTCCCGAGGCAGAGGCAGTGAGTCTCAGGTAACAATGACCACAATATGGGTTTAGTGAGTCTTTCACTGTGTACTGTCACAGTCAAATGTGCTGTTTGGAGGGAGGAAACGTGATTCACGGAAGTTTGTATTTCTCATTGGTGGGGTAAACTGAAGGCAGGCCGATGTTTTGTACTTTGGAAAAGACCCATTATTTCTTTAGAGTGGTGGAAAAATGCCTGCACTTTGGAATTAGACACACCTGGGTTTAACACACTCACTCCCTATTTATTCTCTCCAATCTATGACTTCATTTGTAAAATGGGAGTCAAAATCCTTCCAGAGGGAATTAGGGATTTGAGATCTGTACAGAAAACAACCAGCACGGTATCAGGCCCACAGAAGGCACATGTTAAAACATAGCCTCTATTTTGTTACACACTTAGGAACAAAACCTAGTGTGAGTCCACAATAATAGCTTCCATTTGCTTAAGTTTGAGCTTGACCTCCCCACTGAATCCAGTCTTAAATTCAAAGAGTAATTTGAATCCAGATCAAAGAGGCACTGAAGAAATCACTGATGGGTGAGGAATTAAACCTTATGAAGATAAATTTACTAGAACTGGAAATATTTACACCAGAGAGGAAAAAGATAGGGAGCAAATAATAACCTTTAAGAATGTAAAACATTCTCATGCAGACAACTGGCTGGTTAATGTGTCCTCTGAGGATAGACCTAGGGATCATTACTTTAGATTCCAGTTTCTGGTATCTAGGTTAGACATGAAGGGTCATGTTCTGACAGGCTTTAAAAATTTTGGAATGAACAACTTATTCTATTGGATTCTTTAAAGCACAAGCAGATTTTTAGCTTTATAGGTAGGGAGCAGGCAAGAAAACGTCTGGAAAATATCTTGTAGGAGGAACGAGTGCTAGCCTGTGGGTATTTATCCTGTAGTCAAAAAAAGCCAGGTTTAAGAGGAGCAGGACTACCATGCATAGACCCTGGGGAGACAGGGCTTGTCCCTTGCGGCCCCAAAGGACAGAACAAGTGCTGTGTTACACGTGTATGTTGGGAGTGGGGAGGAGGATTGGTTACAAAAAGGCACATTTCAGCACAACAGGAGAAATACTTTCCTAGTTGGAATTATCCAGTAGAAAGGACTTCTCTGAGACCATAGCAAGCTCCAAGGTGCTGAAATGTAAATAGAACAGTGTTTTTGTAGACAAATCGTCTTGGGTTTGAGGCACTGTTCAGTCACTTCCTCTTTCTTGGGCAAGGTATTATGCTACGGTGGGCCGGAGTCATGTCTGCATTAAAATGGGATGAGCGTCTTTGTAGGATTATTGTGAAAAGTGCCTAAAACAAGCTGTCCTAGGGATGGCACAGTCTGGCAGCAGGAAGAGCGCAATAAAGGGCAGCTTCTGCAGTGAAAGATATGGACTCAATTACCATTTTGCCCAGGATTTCTTTCTCCTGACTCTTGAAATATTTGGCATTTGCAGGTCTGTTTTTTAAGCAAGGGTAAGAGCTCTGTGGTGAAGTAGCGACTTTTCTCTCTCAGTGTTCCCAGGCAAGTATGTTCTGGGAGATTACAGATATGGATTAGATATAGATAATACAGATAATATCTCTATCATCTGTCTATCTATCATCTATCTATATCTATCTATCTATCTATCTATCTATCTATCTATCTATCTATCTATCTATCTATCTATCTATCTCATCTATTTATCATCTATCATCTATCTATCTATATCATCTATTTATCATCTATCTATCATCTATCTATCTATCTATTTATCTATCTATCTATATCATCTATTTATCATCTATCATCTATCTATCTATCTATCTATCTATCTATCTATCTATCTATCATCTATCATCTATCTATCTACCTATCTATCGTGAGATTAACAGACCTGGTAAGTCAATGTTTGCAAAGGAGGGCAGCTAGAAGGGTCACAGTCTTTGTATTGGCTCAGTACATAGGCTGTTGGGGTCACACGTCTAGGGCAAGGAGGCTATTTCCAAGCTATATATGTTGCCCTGCTCTGTGCCCTGTCTCAGCATATACGCTGAGAGAAGAAAAACGCACATGTAGGTTAGACTTTGTTTTCTATCTTTAGCAAAAGCAATTTTTAGAGCCAAATGAATGACCGTTCATTGTTTTTGTGAAACTTTTTAGGTGTCTCCACTCCAGTTCATTAACTTCTCAAAACATAATTAATCTGGAGAAAAAAAATCTACCATAAAGATTCCCCCAGGAGATAGAGGTTTCAAAGAGGTAGAAAACTTTAAATTCACCAGTCTAGAGCTGTGCTGTCTGATATG